TTTGTATGCTGAAAACTGCAAAATGCTGATGAAATAAATCAAAGATGACCTAAAAGAAGAGGAAAGACATCCTGTGTTAATTATTTGGAAGATTCAATACAGTAAAGATGTCAGTTCCCCAAACTGATGTACGGGTTTTATATAATTTCTTTCAAAATCTCATCAAGATTTTTTGTAGATATAGACAAGTTTACTCTAAAATTTACATGAGAATGCAAAAGAACTAGAAATGTAAAACAATTTTGAAAAGAATAATAAAGTGTGAGGAAACAATATCCCAATTTTAAACCATATTATAGAGTTCTAGCAATCAAGGCAGTGTGAAATTGACAAAGGAACAGAATAGAGAACTCAGACCCATGTAAATATAGCCAACTATTTGTTGACAAAGGTGGAAAGCAATTCAATGAAGAAAAGATAAAGTTTTTATCAAATGGAGCTGAAGTAAGTACATTCAAAACATAAACCTATACAGAAATTAGCTCAAATTGTAAAATGTATATTTTTACAGTTAAATTTACATTTAAACTTAACTGTAAAAATATAAACTGTAAAATTTTAGAAAAATACACAGGAGACCATTTTCAGATCTATGGCTAAAAAGAGAGTTCTTAAACTTGAAACCAAAAGAAATACATAAAAGGAAAAATTGATACTCTGGACTTCATCAAAAGTAAAAGCTTTTGTTTTGCAAAAGACCTTGTTAAGAGGATAAAATGATAAACTACAGATTGGCAGAACATATTTGCAAATTATATATCTAACAAAGGATTAGGATCTAGAATAGTTAAATAACTCTCAAAACTCAATTGTTAAAATAAATTCAGAATATAGGGAAAGATATGAACAAACATTTCATTAAGGATATAAAGATGGCAAATAAGCACATGAAAAGACGTTCAACAACATTAATAGGGTTCTAGGAAGTGCAAATTAAAACAAAAATGAGATATCAATATATGCGGTCTGTCCAGAAAATATCCATCCCTGCAATATGCAAAATAGAAACATTTATTGAAGGAGATACAAGATACAAGAAACATTGTACAGAGAACAATGATGGCTCAGTCCCCTTCCAAGTAGGCACCTTGGGACTTCACATAGTTCTCCCAATCACCACCGACTTCCTCATCATATTTTCCTGAATCTCAACAATGGCCTGAAATCTATTCCCTTTCAAAGGTGACTTTAGTTTTGGAAAAAGTCAGAAGTCTCAAGGTGCCAAATCTGGCCTTCAGTGTGGTTGAGTCACCTGGGTGATTTGATGCTTCACCAAAAAACTCTGCACGAGATGTGATGCATGAGCAGGCATGTTGTTGTGATGAAGCTGCCAATCACCAGTTGCCCATAGCTGTGGCCTTCTTAATCATCCAAAAAAGTTTCCGTGGAGAAATGTTCAAGCTTAATGCAAAATTTGATGCAGATTTATTGCTCTACTCGCTCAGTTATTTTGAATGTGACATCCACAAAGTACACATGCTCACTCAATGGCATCTACTGCTCCTATAGACTAGTACAGTAAAGTCATCATTGTTCATGTATATGTATTATAGTCCACTCTCCTTAATTGCCAGGTTACATCTATGTTGTGCAAACTGTTTCATTATATTAACAATTGTTGGACTTTTCCTGGACAGACCTTGTACATCTATCAGAATGACTAAAATAAAAAATAGTGATAACACCGACTGCTGGTGAGAACATGGCAGAACTGGATCAGTCATACCTTGGTCGGGGTGCACAATGGTGCAGCCACTCTGGAAAACAGCTGGGCAATTTTTTAGAAGCTAATCATGCAACTTTTACATGATGAAGCAATTCTACTCTTGGGGATTTATCCCAGAGAAATGAATTTAAATGTAAAAAATAGAAGCTTTATAAAATCTTTATTTCTAATAGACAGAGAATGGAAACACCCCAGACATCCTCCAGTAGGTGAGTTATTAAACTCTGCTACATCTATGCCATGGGATACTACTTAATAGTAAAAAAGAATGAGATATTTATAAAACTTGAAAGCATTATGCTGACTGGAAAAAAAAAGCCAATCTCTAAAGGTTACATTCTGTGTAATTCCATTTAACATTTTTCAAATGACAAAACTATAGCAATAGAGAACAGATAAGTGGTACCCAGTGGGAAAGGGAGGAGTGACCAGGTGATAGCACATGTGGACATAGAAGGGCAAGACAAGAAACCCTTGTGCTGATGAGAATGTTCTGATCTTGATTAACTCAATATCCTGACTGTGATACTGTCCTATAGTTTCCCAAGATGTTACCACTGGGGGAAAACTGGGAAAAGGGCATATTTAATTTCTCTGTATTAGTTCTCATAATTGCATATGAATCTATACTTAACTCAAAATAAAACATTTGATTAAAATTAACAAAAATACCTTCCTGGGTAAAAAAAAAAAAAAATTGTTGTGGAGTCTCTGAAATTAAGATCTAGCCATTCTGGAAGCAAGCTACCCTAGTGTATGGATGTTATTGCAACTTTAGCCAGTGATAAGCCATTTATCCGTAAGTCAGTGTCCATTGCATTAAGCAATATAGAGCTTCCAACACTCTAAACTAGGACATGAATACATTTCTACCAGCTTGTGATGCTCAGCTTAGAGTTGACACTGATATTCACTCTAACATGTCAGTGCTGTGTCTAGAGTGTATTGGAACCATTGTAAGAAAAATTCTTTATTAAGCAATGCAACTTGTCATAATGACCTCCTACATATTTAAAATGAAAAACCTATGGCTTTAGTAAATCTGAAACCTTGAGGTGTAAACTGAGTGATTTGATCTTATGATGCATTTATTATTTTAGGAAGAGCAAGGTAAAAATCCTTAGATGTTAATAATTTGTAAAATATCTCTTCCCTTTCCTTCTAATTGTCATCTCTCTCCCCTCTTCTCTCTTCAACAAATGAGTCAAGGGAATCTTAATTTATTCAAGGAGATGTTAAGTTAATTTTGCTGTTAAAAAAATGTGCCCATTCTGAGGTCCAAATCACCTGGCTTATTTACATAATAAGCCTTTCCAGGATTTTATCATCACAAGAGCTCTCCACCCAGCGGATGATCATGAATTTGATGTGCAGTCAAAGGAACTCAGCCAGCCTGCTCTTTTCCTTCTAGTCAGTTTTTCTGATAGCTTTGTCTTGTTGTTCCAGAAATATTCTCAAGTAGTCTCTAAAACTGATAACTTTTTCTTCCCAAGTATAAAATAGAAACCAGTTAATCATTTTTTCTCTGGGGTGTCTCAGGAGAGAAAAGAATCATGAACTACACGTGTCCTTATTCACACCACTTGGCAACAACATAATTCTCCTGAACTTTGCCCCAGTAAGTCCTGGGGCTGGCTCAGTGCTCAGTTCCCTGAATCCACGTGAGTTTGTTTATAACTGGCAGCTGTGTTTTTCCTGACGGGCACTTTATCACCTCTGCTTAGAATATCTGTAGAATGAATGCACTGTGGGAAGTTTAAGTAAAACTTTTTGACAAATGATTATAGATTTCTATTTTGGGATAGCCAAATTTCATTTCACAAACAGAAAACTAAGAGTATGGACTCATTTATACATTAGAAGGCTTTACTCATAATATTACATTATAGCTCCATACAGGGATAGTTAGCTTTTGTAGGAGCCTCGGACAATGGATACTTACGTATAAGTTTATGTTTTTCTAGGTCTTGTTCATTTTCGGGGTTTTCTCAAATAATCATGAAAAACTGAGAATGTGGTGAACACAGACATCAGCTTATTTGGAGATTGTCAGAGTATTGACCAAGGCACTTATTTCCTTTTCTCATTAGTATTTTGAAAGTCAAAGCAAAATCAAGAAACATTTATTGAGTACCAACTATGTGGAAGATACTGTATCTGGCCTTGGGCTGTATGAGCAAGCAGCTTAAGCCCATATATAAAAATGTACTTAATAAAGATACTGAATAAGTGCGAGACAGCAATAAAATCTGTCATTGATAATAGTTTGTTCTGAATTAAATGAATTGTACTTTGATAATTGGTTTGAGCTCAGTAGAGGGAGAGAAAAATTCAAGCTTGGTTGCAAAAGGAAGTCCTGAGAGAAAGCAGAAAGCACGTAGCATGTGAACTTCGATGCTGAAGATGCTGTTTTCTAATTTTCTGAAGCAATGGACTCCATATCATTTGGCTTGTCCCTGAGGATCAGGATTGTCATCAACCAAAATGTTAATCTTCTAATTATGAAATCCCTTATTTCCTGAAAGCGATCACAGAATAATTGTTTTCTCCCCTCCCTGCTCCTGCCCTTGCCAATCCCAAACCCTCTGCTGCAGCGTGATAGTTGAGCTGGAAAACGCTGCAGAGCTTTCTCGCTATTTCCCACAAATTCTTTGGCTTCCATCTTGGAAATCGCCCTGGAGAGTGAAGCTTCCTGGGCTATAGTCAACAAAAGGACTCTGCTAATGAAGTGTCTTTCTGCCTCTGTGGAGAGATGACACATACTTTCCTCACAGTGTCACTCTGAGATGGAGGACTTGAGAACCTCGCTTCGATTCCTAAAGGAGGAACAGTAAACCTCCTGATTTACAGCACACATCTCTCTGCTGGTGTATTTTTAAACACCTGTCTGGCTTTTGAAAACTTTCCTGTAGCTGAGATTGCTTTATCTCAAAGATTGCACAGAAAGCCTGAGTAAAAGGGGCCTCAGAGGACAGAGCACTGGGCTGCTGTCTAGGATCCCCAGGCTCCCAACAACAGCACATGGATTACTTCTCACTCCTTGCATCTCTGCCTGTAAAACTGAAGGGGGCAGGCATCTTGGCTCTGACTGGTACCATGAGATCTATTTAGGGATTTTGTATGATTGATTATGATTCTAGATAGATAAAATGCTTTAACCATATTTAATAGAAACATATAAGACATCTATTTCAAATTCCTCTGCACTCACAAATGTAATCTTTGGTAGCTTGATCCTACTTGTGAGTCTCAACATTTTCTCTCTCTTTTGAAGGTTGCTGGACATTGAAAGTGAGATGATCAAATTTGCCAGTTACTATGCTGGAGTTGCTGCTGTAGTACTTATTGCAGGATATATTCAAGTAAGTAGTGCCTCTATTTTACTTCTTGATCAGCATCTGGATTCAAAGACATTGCAGTGAAATGCAAAGTGTACTCCAACTTTTAAGTTATTCAAAAGCCCGAAGGACTACAGTTTTATTTCCAGGAGACATAAGTGAATGAGGAGGATTCTTTCCTCAGCTGGAGAGGAGGATACAATCAGTTGTCCAGAAAGATGCAGAATAGACCTTTAGTTTCAGTGTCCTGTCCTTCTCTGCCCTCCTTTCTTCACCCTCTCCTTTCAACTCAGAAATAGTGTGGGGGTGTTTGTCCACGGAGAGTGAGTGGTCTGGAGAAAGCTGGGCATGGGGATTTGGAGGAAAGCAAACTTTACTTTCTTTTTCTCTTTCATTGCTTGTTGCACTGGGCAGGACGGGGCGGGGCACCAGCCGCAGGGTAGTGTGGCTGAGGTCCCCGCTGGGCCTGGTTGGGCAGCAACCTCGACGTGGGGGAGGGGAGCGGCAACAGAGTGTGTAGTGGAGGAGCATGGTGCTCCCTGAATCTGAGGGAAACCGTCCAGGGCCAGCTGAGGTGGGAGCAGGGCTCTGAATCCCGCAGAGCCGGTCCTGGGGTTGTCAGGGATGAGGAGAATAAATATGAGTTGTTGCAAACACTTCCCTGTTTGCTGGGAGAGCTGACGTGGGCACTTCCCTCTTAGCAGAGAAGGCCTCCTCGCCCCTCTTTCCAAAGGCTTTTATTGAAAAGGGTATCAGTGGGGCTAGGTTAACAGGAATGCACAGGTTATCTCATTACATCCGTATGTTAATGTTCACAGAGAATGGGTGATGTTTTGAAGAAAGCAAATGGCAGGAACACACCGATTTACATGGGTCTGAGAGGAGACTAGTAAACTAGAGAGATGGTTAAACGTGAAGAGTGTAGTAAACACAAGAGTGCCCAAGGGTATAGGGTTAGGGTCTGTGAATAATGGAAGCTTCCTTCCCAGCATGAGCTGGCTAGAGCATTTGAGGGAAGAACAAAGCACACTTTAGAGAATTTATTTTTAGGCCTGATTTCCCTGGAACGCCAGATCTGATTTAGGGCTGATTCCTGTATTATTTCAAGCCTGAGCCAGGCAGAGGGAGGGAGCTGCCAAGAGACAAGGAGACTGCCTTCAGAGAGAATGCGGACTCCAGCCATGTCCAAGCCGAGCCGAGAGGTGTGGGCCTTTTTGCCCTTTCTCTGTGTCCTCTGATTTCTTGTTTGCTGCCAATAATCGATTGGAATGTCTTAGGTTGTTCACCTCAGCTCGAGGTAACTTACCCGTCCTTGACTAACCAATCCTCCATGGCAAAGCAGAGCGGCAGGAGCTACGCCCCTGCTGGGAGGACAGGTTATGTCTCCTCAGGAGCCTGTTTCTCAAAGGCCTCCTGGTTATTTCCAGCCTTGGGGCCTTCTAGCCTGTTGGCAGGGTTACAGTTCCCGAAACCAGACAGGGAATTTCCCAACAATTGCTAAAACCTCACCAAACTGCATTCCAACCCAAATTCTGTAAACTGAATCTAGAGCACATTCTAGATTTAAGCCATGGAAGGGCATGGAGTTACTTAATCCTTATTAAGGAAAAAAGTATTTCATCTTTTGCGGCCTCCTGCAGGAAAAATAATAAATGTCTCCAACCCTTATTCACTCAACAATTCCAGAATGTTAATGTTAGTTGAAGGGAAAAATGCATCAGTTTTTCCAGTGTGGCATTGGGTGTTTTAATGAGAGGTTTATTTTGCTCAGTTGGGGGAAATTTAGCAAATTCCCTGCTATGTCATAATGTTGTCTTGCTTTCTCTGAAAATCATTGTCCTACAGCCTGAAAACTATGTATAAATGCTGTTGGCAGGCCTCTTAGGGGAAAGGTTCACTCAGAAATGGCAGGCAAGATTAATGGGTTAAAAGCAGTAATTATTTTTGGCATTGTGAGTCAAAAAATAGGTTCCAGTAAGTTTACATCTAAAAGCAGCAGAGCTGGATTCAAACCTAGAACCTCTGGCTTCTCTGTGCACAACTGCTCTGCTCACCTCCATTTTTAGGAGCAGATGCCAGCATTCACACCCTGATTCCCCAAATGAGGCATTTTGTGAAATTCATTCTTTCTTTTCTCACCTGTTATATTGAAGTATTTTCTTTTGAAAAGACAAGGAATTAATGAATATTTTTAACATCGTGATGCTAAACATTCCTTACTCCATTTCCAGATATGCTTTTGGGTAATTGCCTCGGCTCGTCAGATACAGAAAATGAGAAAATTTTACTTTAGGAAAATAATGAGAATGGAAATAGGGTGGTTTGACTGCAATTCAGTGGGAGAGCTGAATACAAGATTTTCTGAGTAAGTAGCTGGTAGGACATTTTAATATGTGTATGATTTTTTTATAATAAAACTTTTATTTCTAAGTTAAATAACAATTGGAAACATTCTCAGTTACTTTTGATATGTTTTGTCTCTTAATTTGGGCTTTTATAAGTATCACGGCTTCCCCATAGATAATGTTTTATCAAATATGGTCATTATAACTTATAAGCCATGATGCTACAATAGGGCTTATAAGCCCCTGCTGAAACTACTAGAAACGAAGTATTACAGAAGGTTAAGAGAAGTAGGGCCATTTGGCCTCAAAGGAGAAATTGAGGGATGTCACAATCTATGTATCTACAAGGAAAAATACAATCTGAAAAAATTTTCTTGCTTTGACTGTTGAGGTAATTTATGCACATAAAAACAAAAACAAAAACCCCCATAATAGTTTGAGAAAGATTTAAACTAAAAAACTGATTGTAAACCCAGTTTATACCAGAATACTAGTTTGGGTCATTAATTGCCCTCTCAGTGATTCTGAATAAGCCCTGAGTAATTGGAATCGGTTCAAAGGAAGTCCCATGAAAGATAGTGTGTAGTGCAGTGAAGTTAAAAGCAGAATGAACATTAGATCCAGCACTCATTCTGTCTATTACTGTGACCTTGGACAGATGTATAACCTTGCTAGAATACAGTAGCTTAATCTCTGGGTAATGTCTTAGGTCCCGTTTTGCTATTAGTCGTAAACCCTGTTTGCTCCATCTAGACAAGAGATTATGGGAATGTTCCCAGGAATATCCATTTAATGTAACTATATTCAACTAACATTCTGGAGCACTCATTCTATGCAAAGTATAAAGCATACCACAGAACCCCTAATTTCAAGGAATTTACAGCCTACTAGGAGGACAAAAGGTGCAAGCAAATAAATAATTACAGCAAACACATACTGATTGCTTACTATACCCTAAGCACTGTTTTACATGATTTATTGTACATATATTAGCTAATCCTCATTACTACACATTGAGGTAGGGTGTGTTATTATCCCCATTTTACAAATGAGGAAACTGAGGTACAGAAAGGTTAAGTAGGTGGGAGGGGGCAAGGGAAAGGGGGGGGGAAGGCAGAGACAAATGTATTTAAAAAGTAAATAAATTAATAAAAAAAAAAAAAAAGAAAGGTTAAGTAATTTGCCCAAAAAAAGCTTGTGTTTAAATTAAGTGCCTGGCTCTGGAGTCTGTCCTTTTAACCACTATTCTATACTGTCTATAAGCAGAATTCAGTAATTACATACATATACACATACATGTATACAGATTAGTTACACTGCTATGTAAACACAGGGAATAAGATATTACTTCTTTCTGGGAAATTATATGTTTTTAAGGGTTCGTTGGTATGTGAGAACCTTGAGGCTAAAGGATTTAGTAGATATAAATAAGGGAAAAGAGGCTTTTCAGGGCAGACCAAGGATATTAGCTATAAAAAAGAGACAAATAAGATGGTTTCCAAAAGCCTTTGCTAATGTGTAATGGACTCCAGTTGGGAAAACTGGGTTAATGACCATCTTACTTGGCTATGAAGGGAGAGACTGGATGACCTCCCAAGCTGCTGCAAATTTTCCAAGATGTGAGAGTCAGTTATGTTTTTCAAGGGTAATGGGGTACAGAGATTGGAGTGTTTAGAAGAGAAAGGTTGAGGTTTTTTAGTAAGACATTTGAGTTAACCAAATTCCTCTTTAGTGATCAAAACCTCTCTTGTTTCTAGTGATATTAATAAAATCAATGATGCCATTGCCGACCAAATGGCCATTTTCATTCAGCGCATGACCACGAGCATCTGTGGGTTCCTGCTGGGATTTTACCAGGGCTGGAAACTGACCTTGGTTATCATCTCTGTCAGCCCTCTCATTGGGATTGGAGCAGCCATGATTGGTCTGGTAAGAATGTCTTCTCATTTCCCTCCTTGGCAAGACATTGGCTCTGAGAAACAGCCAAAAATGTAAGCTTGAGTCCCTTCTCCTGAGTATATCATTGGTCAATATCTTTATCATTATTTTGATTGGTTATTCCTCAGTGTCAACATTCTATAGATTAGGGATTAATGATATTTTAATAACAAAAATGTTATTGCATTAATAAACAATAATATTTATGATACCTTTATCAAGTATTTACTATTGTGCCAGGCACTATGAGGAACTTTATATACGTTATCTCTAATCTTTATCACAATCTTATAAAGTATTAATGATATTTTAGATATAAGAAATGGAGACTCAGAGAGGTAAAGGGATTTGCCTGGGACTGCACAGCTAGTGACAGAACAGAATTCACATTCAAGGGAGACTGACACCACATTTCCTCCCACTCCCCAACATGCCTATTGCTTTTCTGGTTTTCCAAACTCAGATGCTCCACTCAAAAAGGCCCAATAAATATACCCATGTTAGTGAGAAGCACCTAAGCAGTTGCTGCAGTCATGACAGTGTTCTCCATGCCATCTGATCAGTTCCAGAGAGATTACCTGGTTCATTCTGAGCAGCTTCCCAGTCACAGTCTCCATTCCCTAGGTATGCAAGCCAAGGAAAAGTGTAGGAGTAAAAATTTTGGGTTATTCCAGTTAAAACACAGTCTCAACAATTGAGAGATTGTTATAGCTTACTTTTAGAGAAGCCACAATTAGCTAGCAGGTACTGGGACCAGGGACACTAATAATTTGCTATAAATGAGAGTAGAATTCAAGAGAAAAGTGCACATTATTGAGCAACAAATACCAATCTCCATGATGATATTTTTCTAGCGAAATACTGGGTTGACCAAAAAAGCCCATATTTTTTTCCATAAAATAAAAGACACACTTTTCATTTTCACCAATAACTTTATTATCGGTTATAAATAAAGTTATAACTTTATTATTGACTCAGATATTTTGAACATGTTGGCTATCTCCCATGTGGTATAATGTTGATTGCTTTCAATTATGTCTCTATATGTTCGCTGTCAACTTCAACTGGTCTACCCAAACGTGGAGCATTGTCCAGAGACAAATCTCCAGCATGAAACTACACAAACCAGTTTTGAAACATTCAGTCAGTTACAGCACATTCTTCATACACTGCACACATCTTTTTCTGTGTTTCATGTGCATTTTACCTTTCTTGAAATAATAAAACATAATTTGTCGAAAATGTTGCGTACTTTCCTCCATCTTCAGTATTAAAACGGCTACACAAAAATTCACCAATTTGGATGTTTTTTAAAAATGCACATTTGCACACATTTTAAAAATGTGATATGACAGCTGTCACAATACAATCTAACAAAAACTGTTTTGAATAAAGTGAAAGACAACTAACTGCTACTAGAGCCATCTTATGGAAAAAAAACAAATGAACTTTTTGGCCAACCCAATATTCTCTACAATCCACCAGTGTTATTACCCAAACGTTTCCTGGGTAATGCAGTGACAGCAGCAAAAATCTCACTCCACTTAAGCAGATCGCCACCTGGCTCTTTGCCCTGGCTTGAGAAAGATATACTCAACTCATCAAAACTTTAGTTTCCTCATCTTAAGAACAGGGATAATACCTCCCAAAGTCATTGTAATGATTGAAGACATGATCCATGTTATGTGCTCTGCCCAGCACCGGACATAATATTAATTACTAAAATAATATTAGCTTTTACTTTTTCCCAGTCCACCATATCATCAAGCTTTGTAAAAAGCTTTTCTGCCAAATGCTTTTCAGCTGCGCTCTAAAAATGCTGCAGTTTCTGCAGAGGGTCTTTGGGGATTCTGCAAACGTTTGATTCCGCTTTTTTTTCTTGCCAAATATATTTAATCTCTTTATTTAAACCCATAATAAATTAATATTAATACTTTAATGAATCATAGATCACATTTTAACATATTGGAGACCAACAACATGGCCTGGTTTACATGGTGAAGGCTCAGAGTATGGTTTCTCTTGTTTCGGTGCTCACATTTCATCCTCCTGTAAGTGCATCACTGATTGACAATGTGGTAGCTCTGTACTGGTTTTTCCTTGAATTCAAGTTTGTGCATGTTTGTGTAAAATGATACAAGCAATTTCACTAAGCTCAATGAAAAAGTAAGACCAAAAAAGGTGGAGAAACAACATAGGACGTATTAGAGGTTATGGGTTGTGTTTGTTTTGGCTTTTATACTTACAATAAGAAAAATGAGCAATTGTTAGACATTTCCCAATCTATGTTTTCGAAGTTCCTTTATCAGTTTAATTGAAATACCCTGAGATTATTTAATGTACCATTACAACAAAAAGTGATAACACTGGTAGCTACTTAATTATCTCATTATTATGCTGCCAGTACATATTGGTGAAATAAATTAGAAAAGGGCTGGTAGAAACTGCAATGTCATCCATAACACCCATGTTTTAATGTTGATGAAAATAGCCTCACTTTTTCCTTTTCTTATTGTTGCCTTTTCAATTCACAAAAGTTTTATAAAATGTGGATTTGTGAAATAAATATATTGTAATAAAACACTTTTACTTATTTTATGTCTCAGAATTGTGCTCAAGATTTTGATAAGTGTTTTGCTGCCGAAAGTTTCAAAAAACTTGGAAGATAAAGCCTCTTTGTGTGGGTACTATATATTTGTTAGGTTTCTGATTGAGTTAATCTTCCACAATATTTGCTTTTTCCCCCTTCTTGTTTCTTCATCTGTGTCAGAAATTTCTTTGTTGGTTAATTCTAACTAGGACTCAAACTAAGAAGTCCTATTTTAGAGAAAGTAACTTGTTTAATATTAAGTGCAATGTGTTTTTCTTTCCTTTTGTACAAAGCCTCTTTTGTACAAGGTGGTTGAGCCTCTATAGCCGAGTGAAAATAGTGTCATATTTATCCAAAGCTTTTTTCTCCTGTGGAATTACCTCTGCCTCATCGTGCCTTTGCATGTTCAGTGCCTCTCTTGTCGTTATACGTTCTAACCAGTAGGATGCCTGCCCTGACCTTTGGCCTCTGCCTCTGTGGTTGTCTGTGAATTGTGCAATAGCCTTTGGCCAGTGGCAATGAAATGTGCCATGACTTGCCTTGAAAACTTCATTACTCTAAGGACTGAAGCACTGTGGTCTCACAGAATGCCCTGTGTGGGACTTAACTCTGTTTCAGGGTTTTTGAGGCTGACTTTTAATGCAGTCATTTTGATATGTCATCAACCAAACAGCTGCAGATGAGGCTTAGGATGGATCAAACCTGGACAGAATTCTTCCTGGGCAACTGCTGTTACAGTGAGAATCTAGTCTTGTATTCACCCATGCTATCTGTTAGCGCACCTAAAGGAATCACTGAGTGACAGACTGACCTGATTACCTGGTCCTTACTTTATTTTCTTTTGTTGGGTTTTAGAGTGTGTCCAGGTTTACTGACCGTGAATTGAAGGCATATGCCAAAGCAGGGTCAGTGGCTGACGAAGTCATTTCATCCATTCGAACAGTGGCTGCTTTTGGTGGTGAGAAAAAAGAGGTTGAAAGGTTGGTTAACTGAAATGTCTGCGGAGAGTGGGAGGGCTGTGGACGTGAAAGAGGGTATAAGGGGAATAAATGGTAATGGAAACAAATACAATAAAAGAACAATTAAAAAAAAAGTCTGCCACTTTTTTGAATTTCCTTTATCTACCTATTATCCTGAAGCTTCCCTATTTTTTCGTACAAAGCGGTTTCACCTTGGTCTATGCTACTGCAAGCGAGCTGAGGTATTTATTTCAAGTTCTGGTGGGGTGTACGTGCACATACTGTACCGCACGCCAGTCTGCAACACTGTTTTCTGCCATTGAGGAAAAGCCTACATGATCTAGAGCTCAGTCACACAGTTTTATTGAAAACAACATGTTTTATTCAGCTACTCTACTACACACTCTTTGTAAGGTCTCAGATTTCAATTTAATCAAACATAATTTAGCATTGGTATATTATAGACCATCATTCTAGGAGATTAATACTCAATGAAAATAAAAACCTAAGTGACCAAAAAACACAGTTGCCAAACAATTGTTTTCATTTATTCTTCCATTTATCTGGTATTTATTGAGTGCTTACGTGTGTCAGGTACTGATTTTATAAAATAACCATCAACTTAATTAAACTCTTATTTCATGTGTTATAGATTTAGTATGATGGTGTCCTTCTCAATTGCTAGCAAATTCATCAAATAAAAAAGAGAATAGGATTTACAGTCTTTAATTATCTGCTTTTTTTTATGTGCTTCTCTTTTTCTTTATTTTTATTGTTGACACTATTGCAGATGTCCCCATTTTCTCTGTTTTTGTCCCCTCCTCCCAAACCCCACTCCACCTTCCCTCTGGCCATCCCCACACTCTTGTCTGTGTTCGTGGGTCATTTGCTTCTTTTGGTTTGTGGTATAAAGGTATCTTATTTCCCATAAAAAATTTCAGTAGCATATTTCCTCCACTATGAAAGATATTATCTTCTATTGTTAATACAATGTACAGTGTAAATGTTTTAAAAACGTAACAAACATAGGATAGACCTTCAGTTTTGTCCCATGAAATGTTAAAAATTCTCCATTAATTAATTTTTTTAGGTGTAGGAAGGCAGTTAAAGAATGCCTGAGCTTTAAGACAATGCCCGTTATTGATGGCTAGATGATAGAATTACTTAAGCTTAGTGCTTGGATTGAATTCCCACATAGTTATCCATGTCCCATGGCTGTGACTCTGACCCGTCATCTTACAACAGGGCATTCTTGGTCACAAGGCAGATGGGTGAATGTATGTGGTGCAAATACTAGTTTCAAACATGGGGGGAAAACAGTTGCATCATTTTCTGATAGGAAGCATGTCATGTGACTTAATAAAACAATTTAAGCACAAATAGTACTGGATACCTCATATCCATTTGTGCTGAAAAATCCTTTTCTCTTGAGGGCAAAGCTTATCCCCCATACTTATCCAAGAAGTAATCAACTTTGAGGCCTTGTTAGGCATCATCCCTTCAACTCATTTCGTTGTCAGGTTTAAACAAGCTACACAGAAGTTGTTGTTTTCTTTCCTCAAAGGTGCTCTGTGTTTGGGTGTTTTCATAGTCATTGAGGAAAGCCACTGCACTGTGGTCTGTTTGAAACACCCTAACTTGTGCTGCTACTTCTGCTGATGAAATAGACTCAAATGTTTTCTCTTCACAGGTATGAGAAAAATCTCATGTTTGCCCAGCGTTGGGGAATTAGAAAAGGGATAGTGATGGGATTCTTTACTGGATTCATGTGGTGTCTCATCTTCCTGTGTTACGCACTGGCCTTCTGGTACGGCTCCAAACTTGTCCTGGATGATGGAGAATATACAGCAGGAACCCTTGTCCAGGTATTTTGGTCTTGATGACCCTCATATAATATTTCCTGTTGGCATCTCAGAAAAACCCACAGTTAAAGGATTTGGCTGATTCCTTTGGTGTCTGAGGGAGGAAAGTGTCAATGACTTGATGGAGTCCATCTATAGAAACAAGCAATATGTATGCATATTTATAGTAAAAGTATGCTGAGCATTTGAATTTAGGAGCCAGTGATTTAATGATTTCCAATTAAATGAAGGTTTTATAGCTGTAAAACAATGATTTTTCTGACCGAGTCCAAAAGATAATGTGCCAAGAATATTGGAAGTCAGTGATCTCTCAGCTAAAAATTAACAGCCCATATCGTTGAGCCTAATAATAGCACAAGATAGGTGCTAATGGGCATATTTGTGGAAACATAATGAGTAACTAAAATGTCAAGCCAATAATATCCTCAACTGAACAGATAATACAAACATACTTTATTGGTCACTTGTGCTATAGCCATGCTGTAACTAATGTTGTGAATAATTTGCCATGTCCTTTCAGTTGTTCTTTCAAGAATTAGTGAAAGCCTACTATATGCCAGACCCACACAAAGTGCGGAAGATTCAATAGTGAGCAAAAGAAATGTGACCTTTGCCCTAGCAGGGGGGAAGATAAAGCAATAAATACATGATCACATAAATGCATAATGGCAAACGCTAACACGTGCTATACGGTAGAGGGCAGGGAACCTTTATAGTGATGAGCAGGATAACCAGGCGCGGTGCGGTCAGGGAAAGCTATTCCTCCTGCTCACTCTCCCAAGGCTTTTCCTCCTTAGTCAGGGGCCCTCTTGTTAACAGCTGAACTCTTGTCATTGTCTGGATTCTCAGCTGAGTGAATGGCACCGTCCCAGCCAGGCTTTCACGGTCATCTGCTTTTTTGTTCTCTCGTATAGCTTGCTGAACTTTTCCTTCAGAGCACGTGAATGAAATGGAACATTTGCATTTATTTATATTTGTTCCCACCCTGTACCACCCTCACACAGTAAGCTCTATACAAGGTCAAGGAGATAAAACATAAAATATATGTGTAATTTGGCCTATTAATCATTTAATTAAGTATAATTTAAGCATATTAATTCTTAAATAAAATATTTTGGTTCCAGGTTCTAGGAAGAACAGGTACCAATTAAACAGTAAAAACAAAACAAAACACAAAATCTTGTATACCAGATATTTGCTAACTAAAAACCTGAGATTTGAGATTTACTGTTTTAATAACAATACATTTCTAAAGAAAGTTGAATGGAAATTTTATTTGCAAGTAGAAAAGATTTTCAGAGGTCAAAACATAATCATTCTACTCCACTGACTTGATTTCATTAAGAGCATAATACACTAAGAATGAGTTTTAAAATTCAGCAATTTTTGGCAAGATGAACAGCTGGCATCACTTGAATTTTGTTTAAAAAAATTAAATATGATAATGCATGTTGAACTGTTTTGTAAACTTTAAAGGGATGGTGTAAATGGAAAGTGTTATCATTATCATAATTTAACCACATTCTCAACTTTGATATAATTTGGAACATTTGAAAAGGCAGTGAAAATATTGCAGATCTGAAATCTGACTGTAAAGTCTCTTCTCTTTTTTGATCTAATGATTCTTCAGAACTTTAGGCATTTACCAAACTAGAGATACAACTAGTTGATTTTAGTCACAGCTGCTTATATCTGCTCATTCTGCAGAAGTACATGCATTGAGAAAAGACCTCCTTCCTTTCATTCCATGCCTGCAAGAAGAGGGCAGAATATGCAGAAATAAGAGTGGAGGGAAAAATAAATTGGTAAATTGGAAATTAATATACTATACCAATTGGTAACACTCAAATAAAAAAAATTTTCAATAACTCTCTAGCAAGAATCCAGTTATATGGTTCTGTTAAAAGAAAAGCGGAGGTGTATTAAAACTTTTAGCAGTTTATTTGAACAAAAATAATACTGTTCTGGGAGAAACTTGGTGGTTCTTGCCAATGCAGTAAAGAATTACAGATCAGCAAGCCTGTTACTGTGCAAGCAAAGTTTGTTAGTGCTAACTTCTAATAGGACAGCAAAAGCAAAGGAGTGAGAGTAGGGTGACAGAGTGGCTAAAGGCTGGGTGGCCAGCACCTGGGTGGCCAGCGGCCGGGTGCCCCCCCCCCCAAAAAAAAGGAGGTGGCGAGGGGCCCCTTGGCCAGAGGCTAGATGGTCAGGGGCACTCCCTTATCCCCCAGGCAAGAGAGCCAAGATGGCCAAGAGGGCAAGTCCTTTGTTCTGAGGACTTATATACTTGGTGGGATGGGGTGAGAGAGTTACATTTTAATTGATGGGAAAAGGTGGCACCAGCTTCCCTCTGGGGACATGTGACTACCCAAATGTAGGTGTGTGTGAGGGGTCTGTTAGCCCAAATCCTTATCTCACACCATATTCTATTTGTTCATTTTGTATATATGATAGGAGGCCGGCAACTAACCAAAGTTGTTTTATGGGATTTCCTTTGGGCACTGTAGACCCATCCCCTTCTCCCTTCCAGGCCTTTGGATGATGACACAGTCTCAAGGCTTTCCTTTTCCCAGCTAGTGGAGATGATACACAAAGATGTTCATGGGCTCCCCACAGTCTGCACTATCATAGTTTTACTTGTGTTATTTGGAATGCCTGGCAGCCTTATTGGACCAGGTCAGGACTGCTGGGTCAATGGGTGAGACATGTCTTCCTTTGCTTCTAGTCTCCTGTATTAAGTTCTTTGTTAGATTGTAATGGTGAAGGCCCTGCCTTTATTTCCCCTCTTGCCATTCATTCCTACCTGCTACCTAACAATACCAATCAGACACTGCCAAAACAGAAGTCTTTAGAAGGGCTTCACTCATAGAAGTGAGGGGAAAGACTTTTATGGAGAAGAGCCTGAAGCAAAACAATGAAACTATTTGATTGGTTATAACTTAAATAACTGCCATATTTGAAAAAGCCTAATTGGCTGTGTGTGATTGGTTGCCCTTAGGTTTTGATTTCTTAACCTTGCAGAATTTCAGGCTCAGGTTTTGGTTTGTTTATGTAGGCTACTAAGGCATTAAAGCCACCTCAGTCTAATGACCTCCTTGTTTAATTAATTAAACAGTTCTCACCTTCAAGTTTCCTGCCAGTTGGATTGTGGGATACTCTATACTGTCTGTAAATAATTAATTCTCTCAATTGATATTTCTTGAGTATTTACTATGTGCAGACATGGAATACTATATGTCTCTAACATTTTAGTCATCAGTTATTTGTTTTTTTTCAGTTTTTAAGAATTTTATTTTCAATTCCAGTATACATTCAACATTATTTTGTATTTGTGTACAGGTATACAGCACAGTGGTCAATTATAAACTTTACAAAGTGCTCCTGTCCATATTTCCAGTGCCCACCTGGCACTGTATGTAGTCATTACAATATTATTGACTATATTCCCTGTATTAGTCATGAGTTATTAACTCACATTTTACTCCTAACCTCTTCCTGCAAGCTTCCTCTTATACTTCAAGAAGTTTTTCTTTGGGAAGGTGGGAGGCATCCTTTAACAGTATGATCATTGATTGTTTTCTCCCCTCCCCCCCACTCCCCTACTTTCTCTTTCCCTTGTCCTCTCTCTCTTTGACTCATCAAAGAGAGTCAAATGCATGTGTGCACCATTTTGGCCATACTTCTGAACAGTAAACTAGGAAGACTGAGTGCACATGAGTTGAGTGTTTTAACCACTAAACTAACTAACAATTAGGTTAATTGAATGTATTTTGTGATGCACAAAATCATTATTGGCTGCATGGTAATTGGGCATAAATTGTAAGTAGTTCACATAAATGACTGTAATTAGTATCACTTGTACCCAGACAAAAATCATGCTCTGTGATTTATTAGAAAAAAAAATGAAAGGGAACTGAATGATGCAGAAGCCTGCTCTTTCATTTCCATCTAAAGTTTCAGGACTCAACAATAAAAAATAATAGCAGTAATAGAGAGGAACATTATTCAGTGTATATAAGGTGTGAAGCACTGAATGAGGTATTTAATAAAATTACCATATGTAATACAACTTTATTGTGTAACTGATGTCATTATACTACCACTGAAAAATGAAATGAAGCAATGAGATTGAGAAATATGTGCCCAGTAGCACGGAGTAGGATTTGAACTCAAGCTTCTGTGACTCTGGGGCCTGACCCACTAACCATTGTTTTCCTGCCTCTGGATCTGTCTTCCAAGAGGCCACAGATTCCCTTTACTCCAGCACAGCAATCCCACAGATAGGTTGTTTCCCAGTGGTCCTTCCTGCCTTCCTTTTTCTCATAGTAGTGTCACAGGGCTAACAAATGGTATTTGGAGTGAGAAATGATGGTTGTGAGGTATTAGGTGCTTGCCCCTATCCTGTCTCACTCACTTGCCTCCTAAGGATGCTGAGAGAGAACTTTGCTTGAGGCAATGCTTGCAAAGTCTGGCTAAGCAAGGATTTGACCCCAAACCTCAGTTTAGGACCCTCCTGAGTCAGTCTAGAATCTAGACCAGAGGTTAGCAAACTATGGCCTGCAAGCTAAGCCTGTTTTTGTAAATAAAGTTTTTTTGGAACACAGCCACAGCCATTTGTATAATATTGTCTATGGCTGCTTTTGTTCTAGATAACAGAGTTGAATAATTGCTTCAGAGCCCGTGTGGTCTGAAGAGTCTAAAATATTTACTCTCTGGCTGTTTACAGAAAATGTTTTCTGACCCACGATCTAACACACGTGGAAGGCTTCCTTTGCTCAGGTAGGAAGACCTTGGATGAAGTGGTCTTAACCCAAATCATACCACAATTATTCTTCTGTCTGTTCACCTTATCACTTCCTAAGTGTGGAATCTTGCTTGTTTCAGCATCATTATCCCTATTATTTATGTGGCTGAACTAGATTAATCACCTTTACATGCATTACCTCATTTAATGCTCATAACAATCCCATGAGGTATGTACTCTCCTTATCCCTGTGTTACAGATAAAGAAATTGGGGCTCGAAAGATTATGTAATCTGTCCATGGAAGGAACTACCTGCCATAATCAAGGAAAAGAAACAAGGACAGATGAAGAGATAATGTTTGTCCCCATGCATTGAGTGGGGAATTCAGGGAGAAGTCAAAAGGAGGCTGGCCCACATAATCCTGATGTGTGGAATGGAGAGGTTACTGAAGAGAGAGGGAGATGGCTGGCAGGTCCTGAGAAGCCCCATGATCCAGCCATAAGAAAGGAAGAGAGTGGAGGGGGACTCTGGGAAGAATCTGGCTCACAGAAAGCACAACAGACTAGGATCATTTGATTACCTGAAAAAGATGGCATTCATGCAGAAGTCAACTTTTAGCTCAGCAGATCACTCTTGTCCCCAATAGGTGGTGGCCATTGAAACATCCTCCATGTGTGTCATGAGACTAGCAATCATTTGTAGGTTGAAAGGGTGGAGAGAGGGAGTCCTGTATTTTTCCTAGAGGCCAATGTGAGGAATTGACTCACGGCCTCTTCCTTTATAAACAGCACTGATAAAAACAAGTGCTGGTTAGTAGGAGCATCTAGACCTCATCAGGTAGCCTTTCCTAACCTAATGAGATGGCTAGACTGATGAGTCAAGGACAGATTTCCCAGCTCTGCACAGGAACCCCTCCACTCCACCTGCATGCAAACTCCAGCAGATGAGCCTGAGAGGTAAATGGAATATCAGTCGTGAGTCTGGGTTTAAATATTGCCCTACCACCTAATATATGTTGTGACATATGTTAAGTTAGGCAACCTCCACACACCTCTGTTTTCATACACATCTTTTGTAAGGATTAAATGAAGTAATACAGGTAAAGCACTCAGAAACATATCTTATTATTATTGTTATTATTTTTGGTAGTAGTAGTATAGTGCTAGTATTAGTAGCAGTAGTTATCCTATATACTAGTTATTAGCAATAATATAGCAGTAGCAGTAGTATTAGATCTATATTACACATACCAATCTCTAGGACGATCAAGTTAATCATAGTGTTTTTATTGTTTCAAGGACCCTTTCACCAGAAAAACCATTATATGGCTACTTACATAAAGAATTAAATTATCATATCACTAGTCTAACCCCCTGTGTGTTGGTTAAAGTCTCTGAACTCACTTGGATAGCTCTAAAACACAGGAAAACTATGTTTATCTCTTCTCTTCAGATTTTCCTCAGCGTCATAGTGGGAGCTTTAAATCTTGGCAATGCATCTTCCTGTTTGGAAGCCTTTGCAACTGGCCGTGCAGCAGCCACCAGCATTTTTGAGACAATAGACCGGGTATGTAAAAGACAAAAGTAAAGGCCATTCACAGGTTGGGTGAGAATAGAAATGAACTCTTGAAGAATTTACCCTCAGTGTTCAAAGCTATGAGAAATTATCACAATGCTCTTAACTCAGCTGTACTTAATAAACGTTGTCATGAGTCAGGCCCTATTCTGAACTGGGAGTACAAGAGTGAAACAGAACCAACAAGGATCCTGCATTCATATAATAACTGGGAAACAGGCAATAAAGAAGTAAGTACATTCAACAGGACACTGAAGGAAATAAAATAGGTCTTTGTGACAGCAGTTGGGGGTGGGAAGGAGTCTTTAAATTGATGACGGTGATTGTGTCATCTCTGAGGAGGAAGTAAAGAAGTAGAGTTGGCCCTGCAAAGGGAGACTGGGGGTGGGACGGGGGTGGTACAGGGGAAGTAAGAGTGGGAAGGGTTTTCATGGGAGAAAGCCTTCCATTGGAAAAGAGCTTGGTGAAAGCACGGAACTAAAACAAATTCAGTGCAATGGAGCAGAGTGAGCAAAGGACAGAGGCTGGAGGAATAAGAAGGGACTAGATCATGCAGGACTTGAAGACCACGTTCATGAGGCTGGATTGTCTCCTAAATGCGACAGAAAGTCTATGCGAGCTTGAAAAGGACCCTGGTAGTATGGCTAGGGTTTTCCTGGTTAATCTATTGAATCAAGCTAGAAAGTCAAAATCCAAGAAAAGAAAGGGAAGATGGCAATGCGTTTTTCTTTCTCTGAAAACGTGCATTAAGAGAAGCCCTGAGTTCAGAGAAGCCCGGTAAAGCCAGAGATGTCTTCTAGGTTCCCTAAGTCATCACGATGTATGAGGCATATAACCTGCCTCAGAAAATTTCTCATCACTTTACCTGTTTTATATTTTGGGGTTTTATGTATTAAGATATAAGGAGATTGTTGAAAATCACATAGGCCTGTTGAACGATCCAAATTCCACCTCATTCTTGGGTGCTCAACTAAGATGATGAGCCTAGAAAGCCCCTAAAATTATTTTAAAAAATTAAGGCATTTAAACATGATTTTAATATGGTTCCTAAAGACCCAAGAAGAAAGTAGGTTATACTATAGCTTCGAATAGAGATATGATAATGAATTTCTCTCACTGGTGTGGAAGAGAAAACAAGCTGACTTGGGAGTGGTTTGGCAGCAGGAGAGGACCCTCACTCCTACCTGATTAACTCAGGCAGTTAAGCTCTAGATTAGGCTCACTGCTAACAACAACAGAGGTGAAATTCAGCACATCAACTGAAAGTTTGTAGTGTTTGAAGACACCATCTGAGGACGTTCAGTTGCTTTTAATCATCATTTATAACAGACACTCAAATATTAGACCCCAGCTTGGTTGACTAGTTGTGTGGCCTGAGGCAAGACACTTAACCTCTCTGAGATTCCTCAACTTCCTCAACTGAAAAAAATGGATATATCATCTGCCTTGTTAGGTTACAGTGGTAATTGCATAGTGAAAAAAGTATACTAAAACAGCTTGTACATTGTCTTCCAAAGTATCTTAATAATGTAATAATACATGATAATCTTAATATATTATATACTAATGTATTAATTATACATCTGTATATATTATCATTTAATAAATCATAGTAATATATTGAGAAATAATTAAATTAATATGATATTATAAATCATTTTAATTGACCATATTTTATATTATCTATTAGTTATTTATATTGTATATTTATATATAATATAGATAACATATATGTTACATATAATATATGTAACATATATGTATTAATATATTATATAGAACATAACATAAAACTATTAATATAGAGTAATGTAATATCATTAATATTTCCATAAGTGATAATGAGTATTATTACTATTAATAATTATTTAATGTAGAAGCAACTTATCTTTAGTGTATCTCTGCAATGTTTTAGCTGGCTATTATTCTCCTCTATGAGTAAATTCAAGTTGAAACGGACAGTAAATGCATCTCATACATGCTGTTGCTATATCCTTTTTATATCCCACTCCAGGAGCCTGTTATTGACTGCATGTCAGAAGATGGTTACAAGTTGGATCGAATTAAAGGTGAAATTGAATTCCGTAATGTGACCTTCCACTATCCTTCCAGACCAGAGGTGAAGGTAAGTGTCAATGTTGTCCCCAGGAACAATAGCATTTTATTCTTTGATGATTCATTTCCAGAGCCACACATTGCTTGTTTCTCTGAAGCATGACTCAATCTCCAGTAACACAGAAAAGGAGCATGTTTCTCTGGAAGTGTCCGTGGGTGCTGTGTCATTTCTCAGGCACCAAACCATATGTCTTTGTGACAACACTAATGTGCATGTTCCTCTGGAGGGAACGGTTTGGCAGCACATTCCAGTTAAGTCCACTTTATGACACTATTGAAATGAGGGTGCCAGGTCCTGTCGTAGCAACCGCAGGCTCCATAAACTGCAAGGCAAGAGAGCAATGAGGAGGCGCAGCTGTGTCAGACCACCTCCTTGGCGGCGGCAGAAGGCGGCAGAAGGCTCGGAGTGGGCGGGGGATGAAGTGGCAGAGGAAAGCTGCCGCCTCTGCACTTCTTTACTTCTTATCTGTAATTTCACACGGCAACTAGATCAGTCCTCCGTGCAAAGGTGATCTTGTGATATGCTCATACGTCGCCCATGGGGAAGAACATTTAGTTTTCCTGTCCCCGCTGAGCAAGTATCTTTAAAGGCAATTTACTCTACAGGAAAATAAGGATCTACTCCCCCAGAATGAACTAGCTTTGAAATGAGTCTTATTCCTCATTTTGAACAGAGTATCTCTAGACACCCTTAATATTTCTGCTATCCCTACAGAACTAAATTTCAAGCAACTTAATTTTGATACCACATACCTATAACACACACATATATGTACATCCATCATATGTATATATAAAGCATAAGTCCATATATACTATGATTATATTTGGTTTGATTAAGTATATTTGATTCATGATATATATTACATAGGTATATAAACAATATTTGTCATAACATATGTGAAAGTACTTAGTGAAATACAAATCACAAGGTAGTGTTTACTCAGTAAAGACCTTTGAAGGGATGGCTAAAAAATTCCTTTATAATATTTGTTCAGAACCAGCCCATAATAGCTGTTCAACAAATACTAATAAAATTGAAACACAGTTATTTCATTTCTGATTTGCCTTTTAGTCCCGATACCAAAAGTTTGTTTTAATAAAAATCTTCTTACTTAGATCTGTAAATATTCTTCATTCATACCCTAGTATCTATTTAGCCTTGCTGGGTGCCACTCTGTACTGAGACTACAGTGATTAAAAACAAAAAAAGCAGCAGCGGCAGCAGCAGCAGCATCATACTCAATGCCTGCCTGCCCTGGGGGCAGATTATGGCCCAATAAGTGAAAATTTGTAAGCCTGACCTTCTAGTGTGAAATGAAAGGTGAGATTTTGTCATCTGGAGGACCCCAAACCAGCAATACATAATAAATACAAAAATCACCACTGAATTGGTGAAAATGTCCAATAGATGGTTCTGAATTACTTTTTGTTCTTCCCTTTCTAGACTTAGCAGCATTCAGTCTCTACCTTCAACAGAGCTTTGTACCGAGCAAACACACCACAAACATTCAAATAATATGTTCACTCACAATACAAGTGTTTGACAGCTTAAACTTTGCAAGCTGTTTTATTATTGGTATGTGACCAGTAAATTACTATTATATTTCTAACTTGATGGCTTTCTTTAACTAATTGGGACAGTTTTCTTGAGGTATCTTAGTATGTCAGAAATGTTTCAAATTAAATTCTGGAACATTTAAAAGTGGACATGGTTGATTTACTTTGTTACTACACATCATTTTATTTGTTGGTCACTGCTATCAGCCAAATAATAAGTAATGTGCTAAATGCTAAAACTTCATCCTAGGCATTGTTTACTAATTTGCTGCTTATTCATGGATATCCACGGGTAATATACATAAACAAACACAACATCCTCACAAAGCAGTCTAACTTGTAGCGTAATGGCCGACAATCTGAACATTGTTCTTCTCTTTTCTCTGCAGATTTTAAATAACCTTAATATGGTCATCAAATCAGGGGAAGTGACGGCTATGGTAGGACCCAGTGGATCTGGGAAAAGCACAGCCCTGCAGCTCATTCAGCGATTCTACGACCCCAGTGAGGGCATGGTGCGTGTCTTCCAGGAACTTCTCAATACAGGGGATGGGAGAGTGCCAGTGGTGACAATGTAATCAAACACGAAGGCCTAGCATACACTGAGGCCATCCTGACACACAGGATGACACAGTTGACTCAATGATGTTGTCATTCGCTCATTAATTCCCTGCATGACCGTGTTCACTGAAGAACCAGCCCATTCTCTGAGCAATGGAACTGACCGCGCAGATACATGCAAAGCAGTACTGCTGCCTCTTCAGTGAGCTAAGGTTTTCATTTACTTCTTTGTATTGTAACAGAATAATTATTCTCCTGAAGTTCTTCAAATGCTAAGTATAGGAAAGCGTACACAGCCAGAATTAACAAAGAATGGCTCTTGATTACTGCTTTGAGAAGTTAGGTTTAAAAAAATATTATATAATTTCAGAAGCTTCTTAGCCTCTTTTTTCTATATGTTTATTTGATTATGAACATAGACTGAAACTAAGAAATAAAATATTAATAATCCCTACTCATTTATCACATTATAATTCAAGTACCTAATAAAATGATTACTGATTTTCACAAGATTGCACAAAGTAAGTATCATTTCACAAATGTGGAGAAAGGGTCAGGGGAGAGTGTGACTTGCCCCTGATTTGAACCTAGGTTTGCTGGATGCCAAAGGCTTTTCACTCCCTAAATCATTCTTGTCAACATCTCCTTAGTGCTGTGGGATGGAATCATTGGAGTACATATTAAAGACTTCACTGTAGTGTGCTCTCTATAGTGCATGTACCATTACACTAACATGGCAAAGAAACCAGAATTTTCCTTTGTCACAGACATTTCATTCTCTGCTTAGTTTTTTTTTTTTTGTTGTTGTTGTTTTGCCACATACCTGCATAACTATGCTCTGAATATGTAAAAATCATGGCTTCTTGATGTAAGATTTTTATATTGTCTGCTAATGGTAATTTTAATATTCTTATCCCACTTATAGTTTCAATTGCTATTGAACAGCAAAATGGTAATTGGTGAATCTGGCCAGAAAGTAAGATTTTTCTATAAAACATATATACAAGATAGGGATCACTGCTTATTTTCATTGTATCTTTTGAAGTCCATTTTAGTCAAAACAGTAAAAATATTAAAAGTATGGTAAGTAACTGACTCTACTCTTTACTGAGAAATTAAAACCTTTTGCCAATCATGTTAAATTAAATGACCTTTACATCATTTGTGTTTCTACAGTGGATTGCCCGACAGCTATATTTGATTTCAGTTATGTACTGTCAATCATTCTTACATAAGCAACCGCATTCTAAGAGGAATTGTTTCTGTTACAGACTTGTTGGTCTTTCTTTTCCCTCCCCACGGGTTAAGCACATCATAGCATTATGAGTCAGAAACCTCAAGGATTCCAAGACAGGTGATGCTGTGCTCACGCTCTCTAGGTGACTTTGGATGGCCATGACATTCGCTCTCTGAACATCCAGTGGCTTAGAGCTCAGATTGGAATTGTGGAGCAGGAGCCTGTGCTCTTCTCCACCACCATCGCGGAGAACATTCGCTATGGCAGGGAGGACGCAGCGATGGAAGACATAGTCCGGGCTGCCAAGGAAGCTAATGCCTACAACTTCATCATGGAGCTGCCGCAGGTAACCCTCGCCTGCATTCCGGAGGGAAACCTGTCAGAAGGAAAGAAAGTTCTACAATATGTCGTTCTCTTTTCATTCAGATCCTAAATTATTAAATTCTTAATGACATATTTCAGTTGGATACCTGGAAAGGTACCACAGTTTCCCTTTTGTTTGAAACTGTGTTGTTAATCTATTAAGAGTCTACCAAATTGGGAAACTTCTTTTTTAAAGGTCCCTTTGACATAAATACATTTCCTTATTTTTTCTATTAAGCATTTGTCTAAGCAGGTAATAAATTGATGTGGCAATAAGGTGCACAATGCTGTTTTGATATTTCCCATTGTCACTTAATTTTCCTGTGCTTAGGCAGCTAATATGTGTCCCCAGTACTGTAGCCAGTATATTAAAAAATTCTTCATTTATCTTCATTTTAAACAACAATGACAACAAAACCAATTCCATATTATTATATGGATTTACAGCTAAGGATTAGTTAAGTCAAAGAAGAGTCATTACTAGTTAAAACATATACAGTGCTGACTACAAACCAGGCATTGTTCTAAGCACTTTACATCTATTTAGCCCTCACAACCATCCTTTCAGGCAGCTGCTATTATTCTCCTAAATACAGATGGAGAGCTGAGGTTCTGAGAGGTCAAATAACTTGCTCAAGGCAGGAGAGACAAGGTTAACACCCAGGTGGTCTGGCTCCTGAGTCTGTACTCTAGAACGCTTCCTTCCTTCCTTCCTTCCTTCCTTCCTTCCTTCCTTCCTTCCTTCCTTCCTTCCTTCCTTCCTTCCTTTTTTTAAGCCAGCACAATTTTATTTTATTTTATTTTATTTTATTTTATTTTATTTTATTTTATTTTTGTTGACACTATTACAGACATTCCCCATTTCTGCTCCTGCCATGCCCCCTTCTAAAACACATTCTGGTCAACCTTCTAAATTTCCAGTATGCATGGGTTTACAGCCATGAGTATAATATAGTCTAGTGATTAAAGAATATAAAGCTTTAGAATCAGACTGCCTTCGTACAAATACCAGCTTCTCTCCTTGCAAGCTTTGTAAACTTGGGGAAGTTACTTCATCCCCTTATACCCCAGTATTTCCTTATCCATCAACTAAGGAGAATGGCAGTACCTACCTCATGGGGCATCTGTGAAGACTAAATGAGAAAATGTGTAAAGAGCTCAGCTCTATACTTGCTTTATGTATGGCGGCTGCTCTACTCATATTCAAGAGAAGAGTCTGATATCAACACTTTGTTGTGAGGTTCCAATATAATGCTACACATACAAGATACACAGTAACTATTTGCTGTCAATGGTAATAAATATATATAAAGGTAGTTTGGTCTTTTATTTACAATATAAAAACTGCTTTAGCATTGTGTTTTCTGTATTGTCTAGCTAAAGAAAAAAGACAAGATTTGGTATGTCCTTTAATCCTCTACAATGGATTTTCAAGACTGATCAGCTTTTAGTTTGGTGGAAACATTTTATCTGAGGTTGAGCAAAACAGAAACATTTATACAGCCAGTGAATCTTGGAATAAAAGAATACATCAATTTATTTATCTAACACACAAATAGTGAAGAGACAATAACCTGTTTCAGGAAAAAGTATTTTAGTAAAAGTTGAACCTATGTAAATTCATGCTTGAGGAGGAAGGAGAAAGGACCTTGTGATAGATTATTGTCAGGAGTTACCAAATTCTTCCTTGTTGCTAGTGTCACTTTCTTCCCAGCAATTTGACACTCTTGTTGGAGAAGGAGGAAGCCAGATGAGTGGCGGCCAGAAACAAAGAGTAGCCATTGCCAGAGCCCTTGTCCGAAATCCCAAGATCCTGCTTTTCGACATGGCTACCTCGGCACTGGACAATGAGAGCGAAGCCATGGTGCAAGAGGCACTGAGTAAGGTTTGTTGAAAGTCTGAGCTTGCTTTACATGTGGAAATGTTTGTGGTGCTTTAGGAAAGGCTGCTTGTTGAGAGGGGGGAGAGAGAGAGACAGAGAGACAGAGAGAGAGAGATGCTACATGGGTCAGTGTATCCAGTCTGACTGTTTAGAACATGTTGGCTGGCTACAATGTTCCTCACGGTTGAGCGGAAGACACTTAGGATTTACTTCCAAAAGTTGCCCATATAAAATTTTAAATCTGGTTAAGTCTGACTTAAAACATGTGAGTTTTAAATTTCCTTTTTTTGTTTTTAGCTGTTGATTAATAGCAGCAACTGGCACAGCAATGTGAAAAAGTGTCCTGGCCATTTCTAAAGTCTATTTAAGGATCTTCCCAGGGACCAAGGCTCTGACTTACTAGTAGATTCTGAGATGATCCAAAAGTCAATGTCAGGTCTGTCTTACAGTCTCATTTAACGGCGCGCTGTACATTGTTACAGATTCAGCAAGGGCATACAATCATTTCAGTCGCTCATCGCCTATCCACGGTTAGAGCTGCAGATGTCATTATCGGTTTTGAACATGGTACAGCAGTGGAAAAAGGCACACATGAAGAATTGTTGGAAAGAAAAGGAGTTTACTTCACTCTAGTGACTTTGCAAAGTGAAGGAGATCAAACCCTTAATGAAGAGGGCATGAAGGGCAAGTGCCTTTTTCATTATGCTTATACATTATATTAAATAGTTAACATATATAATCCTTTATGTGTTTCTATGTACTTTAACATAGACTGTCTTATGGGTTCTCCCAAAAGCCCTTGGAGACATTATATAAATGATAAAGGGAAGAACAGGAGCTCAGGAGGTTCAGTTACTTCAGGAAATCATAGAGCTGAAACCCAGGTCTTCTGTGGAAACACTTTCAACTCCATCCCTCTCCCTTTCCCCCAAACTTTGCAAATAAAAGATGCTTCCTATAGTGTCCTGCACACAGTACTAGCGCTATTCTTGTTGGTTGAGTGAATTAATCAATGACTAAAATATCTGTGCTTATTTTTGCTAATGTAAAGCATTAGTGCACCTTCTCTTTTTTAATCTGAATTTTTAGATTTGGTGGCTTATCCCAATCTATCAGTCACCACTCCACACTTTCTATACCATATCACATAACAGGTTTTGAACTCCACTGAGCATAACTCTGTAGTCTGTAACTGCATATAATTGTATACATTTAACATGTGTTATATATTCTGAATGATTTTTTAAAAATGTGTGGTGAGTCTATCCTTTTTTTCCTACTTCTAGTGGGCTTCTCTTAAGTTTTTTATGGTTCATGCTATAAGATATCTATTTCTGTGGTGAGAACACATAGTCTATTTTATATATATGTTTATATACTTGTATACATACATACATATATACACACACACACATTTCAAAAGATTCAATGTTGCTGAGTATTTTGAAATATTTTTGTTAGAATGTGCTAGACAAGTGCTACTTAATGTAATAAAGTTAATAGAATGTTTTAGCATCACACTTAGTAATGATATGCTAGACAAGCACAGTAAATAATTTTATTTTGATTTGGTTCTGCTTGCTGCATGCACTAAGAAATCTCTCATGCTGTGTTAATAGGAAAAGATGACACCGAAGGTGCTTTGCCTGAGAGCAAACAGACCTTTAGTAAAGGGAGCTACCGGGATAGTTTAAGGTAAGTTCAAGCCATGGGACAAATTTGGTTTGCAAATATTCCTAAGAGCCTTCTGCAGCAATGATCCTCAGGCAATGTTTCAGGTAATACCAGGAGAACCCTAACATATAGCCCCAGGTCTTGTGTAATAGCAACATGCAAATGAATCCTTGGTTGGTATATTGACATTCCTGTTTCTAACTCATAGGGACTTTTTTGTTAGCTTCTCATCTTACTGAAGGTAGGGTCATGATAGAAGTGCTCTATAGTCAAAATGTTATTTATTGACTTTAGAAAGGGGATTTTAAAAAAATCTGTGCTTAGTCTTTTCCCTCAAAGCTAACTGTGTTATGAATTACCATCTTACATGGAGGTCAAATTAATTTTTTTAGCTCTACTCTTTAACCTACTGAATTGCAACTGAATTCAAATATATCTTCTTCCAGAGCAACCCATCCAAAGCCATATTGTGGTTTAATTAGATGAAAAAAGAAATGTATTTTCTAATGTTTAGAGATGATTTTCCTAAATACCAGCTGTTTCTTTTTTTTAAGGCTTTATTTATTTATTTTTAGAGACAGGGGAAGGGAGGGAGAAAGAGGGAGAGAAACATCAATGTGTGGTTGCCTCTTGTGCACTCTCTACTGGGGACCTGGCCAGCAACCCAGGCATGTGCCCTGACTGGGAATCGAATTGGCAACCCTTTGCTTCACAGTTCGGTGCTCAATCCACTGAGCCATACCAGCCAGGGCTCAGGTGTTTCTTTTTTTAAAATTTTAACTATTTATTTTTCTATGGATGACTATATATGGATATTCACTCTGAAAACATTTTTTTTTGGAGTGTATGTTTATTAACAAGACCGTAAATTTTAGTCTTTCCTGGTTTAAAAGTTTTAATAAAATTGCTTTTTTGATATTAAAAGGTTTTGAATTAAAAATTCTGCTCAGGAATATTGTCTGTATTCATGAAAAATGTCATTAAAGATTTTTTTCTTAAGTTAGAATACTGTGGCATGCAATGAGCTGACAGCATATTTCTCTACCATTTTCTCAGCACTGCTAAATCATTTCATTCAGGGCAGTGCTCTGAGCAAAAGCTCAGTTAGAGGACTTGCTCGTCCAAGATAGCTAGCTAATCATTTATTAAAAAATGGTTAAAGAGCTTTAAACAAAATATTCAGGTAACAGCTTCAAGTAGTTCAAACACAAATTTATTTATTTTTAATATTCAAAGTATAGTTCCCTGAAATTATGCACAGAGTTTTTAATTTTTTCCTTTTGAGAACAAAACTATACATAAAAATTTCATAAAATGCTAGTTTTATTGAATTTATTGAATCTGGAAAATAATAAAATGATAACTTCAAGTTACTCTATGAAGTAAAAGCTATAAAACTGCCAAAATTATTAGACAGTTTTTATAGACATCTGGGCATTAAGTTTAATCATGCTTTTCTGATTCGAAGAAAAATGAAATTACAGGGATCATTAGAATCATAACCTGAAGATAAACTAAGTTGTTAAACACAGACTATGACTAGACATCTCTTTTGATCATTAAGTTGATGGTTACAGAGAGGAAGTGTACCTCATGTCAACAAGAAAATGGATATTTTCATAACTTTCCAAATTCTACCTGTTCTAGGTAGTTTACTTACAGTTTATTATTAGGACCAAATAAACATTTTAATATATACAGACATTTCCTATTTGCCCATTTGTTCTCACAAATTATACATTTTGGTGATTAGGATGAAAAATCCAGAAATACGGTCTGTACACAGAAAGTTAGCTATTAATTGTCTGCAGAGAAAGATTTATAAGTTTGAGAGGATGGTTAAAAACACCTCATTGTGTATGTTGACAGATTTTTTTTTTTGCTAAAAGATGACTAAGTGGAATGTTAATTTGTATCTTATTTCCTTGCCTACAGTCTTTCTGAAGGGTAAGTCTCTCTCTTTAGTCATATATTTTAGGTCGAAGGACAATTTAATGGATAATAGTAATTAATTTCCTAAATAATAATGTTGAGAGAAAACAAGCATCTGTTTCCTGAATTTGCTGTTTTTATTTGCAGTGGGCAGTGGTAACGCAGATTCTGAGAAAAGGAGGGGCAGGTGTAGGTTTCTGGAAAGAAGTGAGAGAGAGAGAGAGAGAGAGGTGAGAAAGAATTTTAACTCTGGTGTTTGTGGTAGATCAGAAGGGGAACTGGCTGGCAAGCAGAGTGCCTGATGAGCCGTCTCATTTGGACAGCCTGTGATAGACATGAGGAATGATTTGGGGGATAGGAAGACTTCAGAAGTGTAAGATTAGAATATAAACCTGAAGGGACAAGGATAGAGACCTTCCCATGCTCAGAACTGGGAGGTGCTCAACTGTATCTTGAAACCTTCCTCTCTCCACATACTCCTACTATGGGTTCTAATGCTTTGAGTTTTATTTTAGCCGTGTGACCTTCAGTCTCAGCCTTATCATGCACTCTGCCTTCTCCAGGTGACACCTGTCTGTCCCTTACACATTCTGGAGAAGACAGCTCCACCTTAGTTACCTAATCAAAAGAAATTACTCTCTTGCTGTAGAGCTTCAGGTCACGTGGAAGGGAAATGTGTTGTCCCAGAAGAAGCCAGTTTGGTAGCAGTCAGTAGGGCTGAGTAGTGGCTTCATGCCTGTTCATAATGAGGTTTGGCAAGAGTTAGAATATGCAAGAGTGAGAAAAAAGGAGGACTTGAGATAAATGCATCTTGTTGAACCTGGGTGACTAGTAGAATGGTGGTACCATTAAGAAAGCGGTAATAAATTAGAGTAATTAGGTTGATGAATTACTGCCTTCTCAAGGAGGCTAGATGATGTATATAATAGGCACCACTCTGATATTTGTTTTAGTCCAATTTTACCTGGAAACAAACGATAGAGACTTATTCACGTGAATAGTTCCATCTAGATTGCACTAAGCATCTGACTAAGTCTCTTCATCTCTAATATTTCTCTCTTTACACATATTAGTTCCAGTTAAATACTTTGATAAGGAAGTTTCCCTCTCCTCAAGTCGTGAGCATTGCCTTTATCATTGAAAATTCTGTTTGGAAATCAATGAAAACCTAACCCAGCCTGGTTTAACCTTTAAAGAGAGAGAATCAGTTGACATAACTAAGTAGTCCTTGGAGGACCCTTTGGCCTCAGGCAAGGCTGGGGCTTAAAAGATTTGTCCAAATCTCTCTCCACTTCTACTGTTTTTTTCACTATTGGCTTTATTTTTCAGGAAGCTTCTTTTTTTAAGAGTTTTGACATAATTACCAGCAGCTCCCAACGCTATATATTTTCAAGTATGACCTAGAGGAGAGTAGGCGTCTCCTTCCCAGAAATCTCAAGGAAACAAAACAAAACACAACATCCTGAACCAATTATTGCCTATATCTGTCCTGTACTAAGTATATAAAATGAGTATTCCAGTTCTCTCCTCTCTTCATGCTTCCATTTACACTGTTCTCTCATTCAGAAATGCTTTTCCTTCTAGCCTACAAAAAACCAAATCCTTCATTTGTCACCTCTTTCAAGAAGCCCTTCTTGGTAATACCTGTCATACATTTCTTTTTCCTTTAAATTTCCATACTCTTTTATTTAAATGTGCTTTATGGCACTTAGCACATTCTTCATTATTTCAGTATTGGGGGTACATGTGTTGCTCTTCTATAAGACTTAAGCTCCTTGAGGGAGAAGCCTATGAATGACCAGACTCACAGCACCTGGAACTGCTTTGCATGTTGTAGTTGCCCAATAAACCTCTGTTGAGTGGATAAGTGAACACATCAAGCTAAGTTATATTTCAATAAGATATTTGTTGACAAAATGCATTCGTACAGATGACATATAGCATGGAGAAAAATCTCACCAGGGGTTCTCTTTCCTCCTACTAGCTCGTTTGTATCCAGGTGGCATTACTTTAAAGTAAACACATGGTGGGGGCAGTGGGCGGGAGGAGAAAACAAAACTAGAACTCACAGCCAGAAGGGAAGTAAAGGCAATGGACCAATTGCCATTATAACAATTAGAAGAACCATGTGGGTTTGGAATGTATTTGAGTCTGACACCTTTTCTGGTAACCTAGTAAGACAACTTTACCCTCCTCTCTTTTCCCTTCCTGGATCAAGGTCTAGCTTGGGACTCAGAGCAGCCCTACTGATTAATTCTGCCCTAAGAATAGCTCTGTCAATTCTAACCAGAAAGCTTCCTTATCTGCTTATGTGTGACCTGGCATACATTTCTATATTTGACATGTACTGTAAACTTGGATGCCAGTTGAGTCCTGTTCCAACCTGCCCACAGTCTACAGACTCTCATCTTTTCATTTACAGAGCTTCCATCCGGCAACGCTCCAAGTCTCAGCTTTCTTACTTGGTACATGAGCCTCCGTTAGCTGTTGTAAATCATAGATCTCTTTACGAAGAAGACAGAAAGGTCAGTCGCCAACCACTCATGGGGGGATGATCTCCCTTGACTGTGTGCCCTTTAAACCTAGAATATGAGTTTTCAAGGCCTGTATCTAGTAATATTTCACTAAGTCAAAGTAAATGGAAGAACCTGATGGAAACTTTAAATTTTACACCATCTTTTTTAAGAAATAAAGATTGATTAATTATTTTTAATAATACATGGTAACCAAAACTCGGCAATTTAGGGTTAATTAATAGTTCTTAAATGTACCATTCTAATAAACACGGGCAAATTACATGTACTTAGCAGATTATTTGATTATGTAGATACCCTTTAAAAGTTTTTAAGATTATCTGAAGACTTTTTCCCCAAATTTTTAAATTTGTTTCTTAAATTGTAATAACCTTGGCAAAGGTGTTTGATCAACAGAAATGTTTGATAAGGCTAGCCTTACACAAGTAATCACAAATTTTTTTAATTGACAAATAATTGACATGCAACATGCTATTAGTTTCAGATGTGCATCATGATGATATGATATTTACATGAGTTACAAAATGACCCCTGTGATAAGTCTATTTACCATCTGAGGTAACTAATCCATACTATTAATCTTAACATGATTCGAAACAACACGAACATGAAGGAGATAGGAGAGGAATCGACACATAGAGCAATATAAAACTTCCTTCATCGGAGTGCATGTATCCAAAGGTTTTGTGGGCACTAATTTTCACACAAAGTGAATGTGACCCTCCTCCTCCCCAAAGCCTTTCTTAATCATTGCACTTTATTCTCCAACCCTGACGCTCTCACTTTTGATCACCCATGACTCTTCACTTGACTCTTTTAATGGCAGTTTGATTATTGAACTTTACTTGAAATCATGTTATTTTATCCCCTTACTAAATTATAAGCTTCTCAAAATTAGGGACTATATATTATTTGTGTTTGTTTCAACCTAGGCACCTTACCCCGTGCCCTGCACCTAGTAAGTTAGAAGTTTTTAAAACTAGTATACAAATTGGAATTTCTATGATAAAATAAAGCCTAAAGCACAATATTTATCAAAGGAAATAAGTCAGAGGATAGTTTAAATGCAAGCACATTTATTATACATGATGTAATTTCAAAGTGTGTTTAAAAATTGCAATGTGAGAATTCATTTTGGAAGTAATTGCAAGCGTTGGTTCACAATGACAAATTCGAAAGAGAGTGCAAGTACTGCTATGACCTTATGACTAAGAAGGATCCTTAAGGTTCTCTTTTGGTTTCAGTGCATTAATAATGAATAAATAGAGGTCCGGCTACCTAACGGAGTTGTTTTAAGTAAATTTCATAGACGAACTCTTTTTCTCGGGTGCAGCAGGATGAGTCACAGTGCAACAAAATATTTAGCAAGTGCGATTGCTTACTGCGTTTCTCCCATAAGGACTCGAGTCCTCTTCTAGTTCTACAACAGAAATAGGTATTTCATTGGCATTCATGGTGCTGCCACTAATAACTACAAGGGATATAATGTAAGGAGTTTAATAGAGCTTCAAGGGAGAAAGAACCAAATGTGATGTTGAAATTTCAAACATAGCAGCACCAATTATATCCAATTTGTGCATTTTTATGTTTTGCTTTCCTCTGGGCAAACATTTGACAATAAAATCAAGAGAGTTAGGAGGAAGAAAAAGAAAATCTGATTGTGTTGTTATTGTTGAAACAGGTAGATGGCCTGATACAGTTGCAGAGGATGATCAATTCCCTGGAGTTCAGATTCCTGTGGCATCTTTGTGATGCAGGGAAAGCTCCAAAGGGAGTCATTGCAATAAAAGGAAACAAATCAAAAACAGAGTTTCATTTTAGAGATAGAAAAATGCTCCATATGATGACCTACTCATTAGTGTTATAAATCAGAATGGAACAATTAAACTCAATTGAATGTTACTCAGTATAATTTTTTTAAATTAATTAATTTATTTTTTCAAATACATTTGTTTCTGCCTACCCCCCATTTAAAAGAGCTACCTTATATTTTCTTTCTAGTTAAGGGAGAAAAAAGGAGGAAGAAAATGACAAGGAAGCCAAAGTGATTCTGCTAAAGCTCCAAAAAGAAAATATCTTATGCATCTATTAATACTGTTTGCTTGTATGATATTTATATTAAAGTCTTCTAGGTTTAAAAACACAAAATATTTTTATGAAGAAAACAATGGAATCCTAGGGTTAATAAATTTTAACTTGTGGAATTTCTAATCCCAGTAAATTATAAAGAATTTCTAATATTTGGGTTACTTTAATCTCAAGTAAATTTTAAAGTATTTTAATAGCTAACTAAATTCTGCAAGCTCAAGCACTAGTGAAATTCTTCCTTTTTAGAAGCTGTAACCTTACCTTCCGTTAATGGGGGAAATGTCCTATCTTAACATTGCAATGCAAAATGTTTAATTACATAAAGAAGTTACTCCACCTTGTGGTCTCTTAGAGTTTTGACTCTGCAAACTTAGAAGAGACGGTTTGGTAAGTCTTGTCATGAGCTGGGCACAGAGCAGAGACTGCAGCCCATTTCTCTTCACTCTCCAAGCCGTACTTTTGGCTCCCAGGAAGGGGGTCTGATGTTAGTGGTAATGCTGATAAAATTCATTTTATGATTAGGGGAACCCTGAGGGCTAGAGGTTTCAGTCTCTGAAAACTAGGCATCTCCTTCAGGGAAACTAAAAGGCAAGGCAGAATGTAGGTGTGGGCAAAGGAGGTTATAATAATAATAAATAATATAATATTTAATAAATAAATAATAATACAGGAATAAACTCTGTGTTTCACATACTCACAACTGTAAATCTACTTCCACCCATCCCTGTATATATGAAATCAAGTCAACCTTGTTGGGGAGGAAAAATTTATCCCTACCTCTCATGGTTCCTTGGGCTTTGTTGAAGAATTAAACTGACACATGGGGTCTCCATAAGAATATGAAGCCCAAAGACAACCAGGCAATTGAGGCTTGTATGTCTTCCAGAGCTAGGGAAGTGGGTGGAGGTCTAGGACTTCAAGTGACAGGAAGACAATTCACAGGAAGATAGGAAAAGCAAATGTTTGCCAGGCAGTGCACAGACAAAGGAATACAGGGGGAATTTTAAATAATTAGGTTTTGCTAAATTCCCCTCAGTCGACCACACCTAGCTCACATTCTTTGTAGTCATCTCTGGCGACATCTCCCTTCCTGGAACAGGCCCCCTATCTAAATTCTTTTAAACAAAATTTTAATAGTTTATTGTATTTTTTCCATTACCATTTATTCCCTTACACACTCTTCCACCTCTATCCATCCCCTCGCCCCTGCAATCACCACACTGTTGTCCATGTCCGTGAGTTATTTTTCTTTTTTGCTCAATCCCACCCCACCAATTCCCCCCGCCCAGCGCTGTCAGCCTGCTCTCTGTCCATGAATCTGTCTCTATTTCGTCCGTTAGTTCAGTTTGCTCATTAGGTTCCACACATGAGTGAAATCATATGGTATTTGTCTTTCTCTGACTGGCTGATTTCACTTAGTGTAATGCTCTCCAGGTCCATCTATGCTGTTGCAAAAAGTAAAATTTTCTTTTTTATAGTCGAATAGTATTCCATTGTATAAATGTCCCATAGTTGTTTTATCCACGCATCTACTGATGGACATTTGGGATGCTAATCATCGGAGAAATGCCAATTAAAACCACAGTGAGATATCACCTTGCACCTCTCAGAATGTCTACCACCAATAAATCAACAAACAACAACTGCTGGCAAGGATGTGGAAAAAGGGAGATCTTTTTGCACTGTTGGTGGGAATGCACATTGGTACAGCCACTGTGGAAAGCAGTATGGAGATACCTCAAAAAATTAAAAAAGGTGCTGCCTTATGACCCAGTGGTTCTACTTCTGGGAATTTATATGAAGAAACCTGAAACACTAAATTGAAAGAATATATGTACCCCTATGTTTTTGCAGCATTAATTTAAATTCTTTTAGGCAGTTAGGGGGTGGAAAGCTGTTCCTGAAACTTACTTCTTAAAAATAATCAGCCTAAAATAATCCTCATGCTAAAGAAACATATTTTTGGGCTGTGAAATCCTGTTCCCCTAAAGTTTTAAATATTAGAAACCCATCACTTCATCATAGTTAGCTTACGAGATAGGGTTTAGGCATTTGATTAAAAGGCACAAGAGAGACAGGACCCATCAAATTGACTATCAGTATTTATTCATTTAAAGAATCTCTGCTTGCCGTAATTACCATTTATTATCATCAACTCTGAAAGTCATTATTGAGGCAGGAGACTATAAATTGGCATGCAGGAATCACTGTCACAAAGCATAGAAAGAAGGACATAAAATTTAAGTAGGAAGTTATATTTTCACCTATACAAGGAGATGGAAGGAAGGAAACTGGGAAAAGCCCAGTGTCTAGCGTCTAACCATCAACATAGTAGGTAAACAACCAGTATTTTTTAAATAAATATTTTGTTGCATATATGTACCATAGCCACAAACGCTTCCTTTATTTGTTCATCTAATAAACATCAATTGCACATTTATTACATGCCAGGTATTGTGTCAGGGATGCAAGGATGAATGAGGCCCGCTGTCCTTCTCTGTGACCTTCTCCATGTCCTTGCTGGCAGGACACTTCTTTATATATGATAAACAAATGAGCGCTGTGCGACTCAGCATAGCTGCAATAGAGAAAGAAACTCTGAAATGAGGAAACACATGAATTTTTGTAACTTTCTCTTTCTCTTTGAGTTACTGGTTTGCCGTGAATTTATTCATCTTTCATTTCTTCATCTTAATTCATTTTTAGCTTTTTTTTTGATGAATAAAATTGTCATTAGCTTTACAAAATCAGAGATAAAAAGCATTCTTTACATAATGACCTTAATTATATATTTTTTTCCTTTTGTTCTTCTACTATGCTTTTGGCAATATCAAATGAAAGTTAGTCAAAAGTCAACTACTTAGGGACAGAGTTCCTGGTTTTTGCATCATTTAGTCTTTATAACCACATCTTTTGGGGGGTTAGGGAACAGTTTCCTTTAAAGTCAAATGTTGAGTAACTGCGGACAAAAGAAAACTATTCAAATTAATTAAATTTTGCTTCTTGTTAGTTTATCTTGGAATGAGAGCTACTAGGCAAAGTTACTTCATAGTAAGTAAGGCTTTTAAAAGCCTTAGATATTGTTATGTAGGGTTAGGGATATCTTCAAGTATCAAAAGGCCAGAGAAATTTCTGTCATGTAAAGTCATGAAAAGGCCATCCTGTGTGAAGGTGATGCCAGAAAATGCTGTAGTTTAATGTTCTGGCTGACACTTTCCAAATGTATAATCATGGAATCCCAGATATTTAGTGCTGAAAGGGGTCTGAGAGCTTGTAAACAGTACTTTTGAGGATCTCACAAAATGGGCCATGTCACCAAATTACCCAGGGATTTTTTTTAATCCTCACCCAAGAATATGTTTATTGATTTGAGAGAAAGAAAGAGAAGAAGGAGAGAGAGAGAGAGAGAGAGCGGGCAACATCAATGTGAGAGAGAAACACTGATCAGTTGCCTCCTGTATGAACTCACTCTGAGGATCGAACCTACAACCTAAGTATGTGCCCTAACTGGAAATCAAACCCACAACTTTTTGGTGTATGAGATGATGCTCCAACCAACTGAACCACTTGGTCAGGGCCTGAGGAGTATTTTTTTTAAAACACAGAATCAAACTTAGACTTACTAAATTAGAATTTCTGGTGGAAGAACATAGAAATTTGTATATTTGATCATAGATCCACATGAGTCTAGTGTGCATCCAAATCTGGACACCAGTCACTGTTGAGAACTGTAAAGGGTCTGATATTTTGCTCTATTGCAAACTATCAAGTTAGCCTGACACAATTTCACAGATGCTGGCAGAATACACGACACTCCTGAGTCAAAGACAAAAGATTTTGTTAAAGCAATATTAGTAGCCAGAGCACAGCATTTACACTGGTTCCCAGCCCAACCCCCACTTTCCGTAAGTTGATGCAAACGGGGCCAGATGATACCAGTAACTGAAGGGACGTGTGTTACAGGAGAGGAATCCCCAGCTTGAGGAACCTGACTCTTCTAATAGGTAGTACGCACATCTGACCTTTTCTTGGGATGGAGACAGCATCTGTGTCTTCCAAGGCTATTTGGTATACATCCTTGAAAAAATAGTCTGAGCAAAGGTAATCAATGCTTCTGTTCACAATATGTGCAGAAACATGAGAGACCCATAGAGAATTGCCTCCTTAGCCCAACTGTCTCATTTCAAGGATCAAATAACTGAGACCCAAAGAGCTAAAGTGCTTGGTGATATACTCCATTGTCAGCTGTGTGGGGCACAACCAAGAATCCCATTCTTTCTACGCCTATTCCACTCAGCTTTACTAGACTCCATTCTTCCTCTCTGGCATTGATTCCTAGATTTACTAAGCTGTCAGAAGTAAAATAATTGAACAGAAGGATTTGCTGCATGAGTGAGTAGTAATGACAAGTGCAAATGTTGAGGGCAGGCCAAGAGAGAACTTAAAATGAAGGCAATAGCACATCCATCTCCAGCTAAGCTGCCTTCCTCAATCTTATTTGGCTGCAACTATAATGACATAGACATGATACGGGCGTTTATTTAAACTGAATTGTTTTATCAGCAAAAGAAAAGCATTCCTTGCTCTTGTATGTTCCCAACGTTCAGCTACCAAAAGGGTAAACTGCTACATGTTAATGAAAGAGAACACTAACTAATAGTTTTGTAGTCAATTTCCTAGAGCTAGCTTAGTATATTTTAATGGAAAAAATATAAAAATTATTACAGATCTATATAAGGCACCTAAAATCCTTTCTCAAATAAAGTGGGTAATAAATTTAAAAATTATTGAATAAATGGGCCAAAGACAAAGCACTGAGTAATATCTATAGCAAGGAAAAATGATGGTAAAAATGAGGTTCTGAATATAATATTTGCCTTTGAGAAGATAAAAATTTTCTGGCTCTAACTCTTTAATGGCAAATAAAGAGAGATCAGAATAGGGAAATACTGAAATAATTTTCACTCCTTGTGAACAAAATGTAAAATTGAGAAACTATTTAGGTTGCAATTTGTCCTTGGGTACTAATTAAGGAAACCTCACAGAAAACATGTAACTGATAACTGTTGACACTATTTCACAAATTTTAAAAAATATTTTGCCTCGTTTCAGATATTCTGCCTTGCCTTAAGAACTTTGACATACCTTGAAAATTTCACACATCCTCAAATTCGTCAATACTACTATAACACAATTATTTTTTTAAAATCAGAGGTTTATTTTTCTTACAGATCCAACATATTTATTATTCACTGAGAGTTGATACATATGCCACTGTGAAATATGAACTGTAAGCTCACTTTCAGATGAGCAGTCTCTCTGGGCTCCTCTCTGCCAGTGACAACGTGAGCACAAGAAGTTCAAAGCCATTTCTCACAAAATAACAAGTCAACACACCTTATAGATCTTTCAGGTCACTCGTAACCAATCAAACCATGACTCTTATATCTGTGAATGTCAAAGGGTCTACTGCATTAAAAAAACAAAAGAGCATGTGAAAATATGTCCATGTGTACATTTGGATGATTAATCATACCCTCTCTCCCCTCAAGGACAAGAACCTTCCCATGGAAGAAGAAATTGAACCTGCCCCGGTCAGGAGGATTCTGAAACTCAATGCCCCAGAATGGCCCTACATGCTGGTAGGGTCTGTGGGTGCAGCTGCCAATGGGGCAGTCACACCCCTTTATGCCTTTTTATTCAGCCAGATTCTTGGGGTAAGCAAACAGCTCGACGAGCTTTATTCTCCTCACCTTTTGTTCTTCTCTCCGTCGATGTTGTCATTTTCAATAGATTGGCTCTTGAATGTATTTAGGGGCTTCCCTCTCATCTCTAAAGAATTAAAAATGCCTCCAGTATCCCTACACACTGAAGGTAAGAAGGAGAAGTGAAGCCTGGCCATTGGGGCTGGCAGGACACTCAGTGTCATCGTGCCTGTGAAAACTGCACCACGGCTGCCAATGCAGTGTTAGGAGAGAGCAACTTACCTGCACGCGAACCAAATCAGAATGCGGGCAGGTTTGCTGAATAACACAAATTCAGCAGTTTGTATTTTAGGGCTAGTTTGATCTTGCTGAATTGCTGTGGTACAAAGTTTTAATTATAATAGCAGGTGTTAGTGCATGTTGTATAATTCTCTGCTTTCCTACTGATTCCATCATTGAAATTGGCAGATAGAGAGAAAATGGGAAAAGGAGAGAAAAGTAAAAAAAATGGCATGGGAAAAGATGAAATTTACTTGTTTTCCACTTCCTAGAAGTTTGATATTCTCCATCTGACTTCATTGCTATAATAAAAAATAACTATAAACATTAACTAGATACTGCCTCAGCACTTTATATATAACAGTTCATTAAGCTCTCCTAATAACCATCTGTGGTAGGTATTCACATTGTTCCCATTTTACAAAGGAGCCAACCAAGGCATAGAGAACTTAGGATCACAAGTAGTGAATCTAAGATTCAAATTCAGGCAGTGGGACTATAGAGTCAGGTTCTAATGCAACCTTATTGTTGTGAAATTATTTATCAAAATGCTATCAAGTTTTCTTAGTTGAAATTTACACACACACACACACACACACACACACACACACATTCTGTGAGGTCAACAAGAAGGCAAACCTAGGACCTAGAGAACTTTATTAACTTGTTCAAGGTAACACAGGCATTAGGTGATGGGGCCAGGACTAGCACCCAGCCTTTTGGAAGCCTAGTCGAAAGGATTTGCCAGCACACCACACTGTCAGAGCTTGGTAAGAGTCCTGTTTTAGTTCTCTTCTCTCTCTCTCCTTTCTCTCTCTCTCCCTCCCTCGCTCCCTGCCCTCTTCTCCCCCTTCCTCTCCTCCTCCCTCTCCCCCTCCTTCTCCTTCTCTGGCTCTCAGAGCTCCTGACCAGAAAAAAAATGTTCCCACAGACAGGAACTGTATGGAAAGACCTGGAGAGTAAACAAACAAAATCAGGTCAATTGAGTAGGGAGGGCTCCTGGCTTCAACTTTCACACTGCCCCCTTGTGGTAAGTGAGGAAATCATACTCATTTCAAAGAGGAAATTGGAAACACAGGGACCTTCAACTCTGGTAAATGGAATTTCTGGTTATGTAAAACCTTTATGCTGAAAATCTTTTAAATAATTAATTCATATTCCTTAATGTATAGTAAGTACAATATCCTAAAATAATAGAAATGACTGATCAGTCAACAGATCCTTGTTATCTCCCCTGGACACAGTGCTAGGAACTTGGAAATGCAGCATCAGTCATGGTGTCTTCCTTAATGGAGTTTTAAGTCTACGAAGAAGAGAGACATTAAACAAACAAACCAAAAAAATCCACTCATTATTTCACCACTTAACAAACATTTATTGATTACTTATTGTTTACCAGATCCTGTTGCTGTTGGGAATACAAAGGTAAAGGAGAAAATCACAACCCCTCTCTGCTCTCATAAACCTGACATTCTAGTAGCAAGAAGCTCTGGAAATGCATCGCACTTAGCCGTGATGTGGATGTAGAAGGCATAGGGGATGGGGTTGAATCTGTAAGACCCAAGGCTATACCAAAGATGTGTGCTTTTAAAATAAATCCAGGAGGTCAGCATCTTTGTTGATCATCTCTTTTTGTTTTATAAAAGCAGAGAAAGGAATATACCCACCCAGCTTCACCTTATACATGAGCTTTTGTGGAGAGAGTCCTGGTTTCCCTGTCAGGAAAGAGTCCTGGTTTCCCAGTCCTAATTTCTTTCTTCTGAAACTGTCTGCTAGTTACCTACCAAGTACTGTATTTGTTTTATTATTATGATTTTTATTTTGCTTTTGGTGCAGAATTCAGCAATTAATATTAAAACTAGCTGAAACCCTTCACTGCCATGATAACTGGACTTAACCAATCATATGCTCTGGGTTCACATCATGCCACTTATCTGGGCCTCTGTTTCCTGAACTATAAACTGAAGGATCAACAGAGATAATTTCTAAGATACCTTCCAGCTCTAGTGGTCTATGAAATGGCCAAGACAGAAAAAACTTGATGATTCAGCTATAATCCCTGCCCACCTAGAACTCCTACTGGTTAATGGTGGAGAGAGTATTCTCTATGACCTTCTGGTCACAGCCAGAAATCCTAACAAGCAGCCTGAACAATTAAGCTTTTCACTTAAGTGCTGCAGGACCAGGGTAGCAGAGTCTGTTGGTGAAATCCAAAGCCTATTCACGGTTAATAGTCTCACAGGGTTATATTTGCTACAGGATGATCGTAAACAAACTTTTTTTCTCTCTGGTAAAGAAGATTATTTCTGTTTGTCTCTTGGCATAATTATCAGATATTCATCAGTAGATTCATGATGTTTTTATCCCATAAGGTATAATCATGAGTCATATAATAGCCTGTTTTTAATTGTGCTATTTTAACTCTGACATATCTAAAGGACACAGTATTCACATTTGGAACATGGACTCTGCAAATGCCTGGACATTATTAGGAGCCTGACTGCTAGTCTAGGGAAGCCTCAATGTATATGCAAGACATAATTTATCTGATTCACATTCCCTGGGTCTTTTTGACTTGGAAAATGTGCCCAGTGTTCCAAGCACAGCAATTTGGATGGGAAAAGGCCTAAAGTGTGGAGTCAGCCAGTCCTGGCTTGGTATGTAGTAGGTCTTTGCTCTGTACTTCCTGTGAGCATTTTGGCAAGTGGCTTCTCCTTGATGAAACTTAGGTTCCTCATCTGTAATAAGGGACAGGAAAATCAACTTCACCTAGTTGTTTTCAGAAGGCCAATTTAAGAAAATTCTCACTTAAGTTAAATTAGGTTATTTAACACTTTTGGTATCTGGTAAATAGCAAGAGTTTAATGAATGTAAATTTCCTCCTTAAACAAACTTACAAGAATGGTCCTGATATCTGATCAAATTACAGCTCCTCTAAGAACAGAGGAACCATTGATGGCTAGCCCTTTGGGTTGCAGATGCAAAGAAAGTAGAAAGAACTCGTGGGGCAGAATTTTGTGAAAAAAGACTATGGCTTAGATAGATGTCCAATCTTACATTGGACAGTTATGTGGATTTAACATTAGTCAATTATTCTTTTATTAACACTGAGAAGATGAGTAATACCAAGAGCCGAAAGGCACACTCACAAGAAAACCATTGCACTAAAATCTGAAAAATAAGCATTTCCTTATCCAGTCATACCACCAGCTACATGAACTTGCACAAAAGACTTGATGTTTTGGGCTTTAGTTTTCCATCTATAAAATAAGGATTAAACTGGCTCATCTGCAGTTCTCTAGTCTGTGAGATGGAAATCATGCCATCACAGCTTGGGTTTGCAGGGGATTTGTCCACTGCTTTCAGAAAGCAAACTGAAATAGATTTTTAAATTCCTGAATTTTTAAATCCTATAAAGTGAAAATGTGAGCTATTTTATGGGGGAAAGGATGACTGCGGTGAGTTCTGAGCCCACCGTTACCTGTATTAAGGACCAGGAAGGCTCTAGAAATGTTTTGTCCTAGAATCTCATTAATCTGGAAACTTCCCTCCACTTTGGAACTTATTATACATTGTTTTCAGAAGATTTATTTGGCATATAGCAGACACTTAATGTTTATTGAATAAATGGTTTCCTTTGAGCAATAAATAAGGATTTATTGTACAGTTCTATAATATATACTTTTTTTCTGAACTCTCACAGTTTCCTCATTTAGTCTGAATTAGAAAGGTTTTGTTATACCTAAAACCCATTTCACTGTGGGGAAATGTCATTAGAATATGCAGCTGTTCTCTCCATTTTCTTATTGCAATAGCTTGGTCCTCAATCCACTACTCGAGCACATCTGTAAATTCAGAAAGTAGGTACCGGTGAGTACAGTTTACTACTTCTTATAGGCTAAGAAAACCCACTCACAATTTTCATAGTTTTTGAAGGGATTGTTTACAGTTTCTGGTGATTTAGAGGCAACAACTTCAGCCTCAGGTGGATGGAAATATTTTTCTTTCCTAAACCAATTGCCAATTCCAGCCAATGCCTTGATAGCTAGTTGCTTTTATAATGATGGGGTGTGTGTGTGTGTGTGTGTGTGTGTGTGTGTGTATACACACACGCGTGCGCATGTATGCATTCTATAAAACTAATGACAGGCAATGTACCCGAGTGGAACATAATCTTCACTGCATCTGTTATTGAAGAAAGACCCAGGTTACAATATTTGAGTTTTTTTCCCCAGCTAATGTCCTTAGATTCTCAAGTATCTCCTTCCTTCTCTCCCTCTTTCCTTCCTTCCTTCCTTCCTTCTTTCCTTCCTTTCTTCCTTCCTTCCTTCCTTCCTTCTTTCCTTTCTTCCTTCACTTTCTTTACCTTATTACATAAAGGATTTGAGGCATTTCATCATATTTTTCATCTGTATCAAAAGAAAGCCAACATAATTGCCTACATCAAGGAAAGAAACAAGCTGAAAATTCTGTAAATCATAACCATTGGTTTTCATTTTCCAGGTTTCCCAGAATTAAAGTACATGTACTCCAATTTAGCTTTGGTTTAATTACTAGGAGGTTTAAAGTGAAATCATTTTTAACTCTATGTTTAAGAGAAATTTCTAAAAGAAATTTGATTTCTTTTGCTATTGTTTGTGATAATAAAGTTACTTCCTTGCTTACTACTTGCAAAGACTTTTTCACTGCCTGATAAAGAAGAGCAAAGGTCGCAGATCCATGGTGTGTGCCTGCTTTTTGTAGTGATGGGCTGTGTATCCCTTTGCACTCAATTTCTGCAGGTAAGGAATTTGATTTTTAAATAAGTGATTTAGCTATTTCCATCTTTTTAATATTAACATATCACTAAAGACTCTTTTGTGGTCTAGGGATATGCTTTTGCTAAATCTGGAGAACTCCTCACAAAAAGGCTACGTAAATTTGGTTTCAGAGCAATATTAGGGCAAAACATTGGCTGGTTTGATGACGTCAGAAATAGCCCTGGAGCACTGACAACAAGGCTTGCTACAGATGCCTCCCAAGTTCAAGGGGTAAGCTATGGGTGGGGCAGGGGATATGAGGGGTGTGTGCTAGGGCTAGAGTAACTGTAGTAGACTTTCTTTCTTTGGAGCCTTTGGACAATCACCTATGTATTTCCTATGAAATAGGACCTCGCAGGATTTGGACACCCCAGAGCCACCTATTCTCCTATTTCCAATGCTGAGAAACAGTAGCTGAAAAGCACAGTGTCTGCGAGGCAGTGCCCAGAATCAGTGTTATGGCACGAGTCAAAATATGTCAGGGTTTTGGATTCCTCTGAAGTCTAGCAGTTAAGGAGACTCTTCTCAGGACATTCTTCAGCTCGGAGGCTCAGATTCCACAAGACTTACTAGGGCTCCTCAGAGAGTGGGGGCAAAGGGTGTATGGGGAAAATCCTCCCTACCGAGCCTGGTGCATTCTTTGTTATGTTTTAGTTCTCAAAGCATAACCATTGGATTATCCCAAAATTATAATCATTTTGAAAGGTTTTATATGCATTATCTTACTGCTTAAAGAAAAGTCTGTACCAATTGACTCTCATCATCTGAGTATTCTAGTGTCCAGTTCACCTTACTCTTGAAGTAAAGTTGAATAAATAAGCCATAATCTTTTCTATTCCTCTGTCCTTCAATCTGCAAGGGGCCTTTAAAGGTTATTCAGTCTCACCAGAATTCAGAGAGTGGCATCTAATTATCTCACAAAAATTTTATTTATCCTTTAAAAAAAAGTTTCTAAGAGTTTTCTAATATTTTTTTAAATGAGATTATTAACCCAGGTCAAATTTATTTTAATATTGGTATAAGGTAGGAATTTGGCTTTTTTCCTTCAAGATGAATAGGAAGTTCTCAAAAAATATTTAACATAGATTTCATTTTCCATTGATTTGAAATCTTCCTACCCTTTGTGACTATCAACTTCCCACGTACATGTAGAACTACTATATAGGGATTCCATATTCTCTTTCATTGATCAATTTCATTTATAGTTAAATTAGTTTTATAATTAAAATAGTTTTAATTATTATAACTTTTATGATAAATTCTTATTATCTGGTAAGGCACAATAATTTTCTCCTAATAAGGATTAATACACTTAATAATACTAATATGTGTTGTTCTTCTAAAACTGATAAAATTGATAAAATTACGCTTTATGGCTTATCTATTCCTGGACAATTGATTATTCTAAATACTTTAATATCATCTTGACTTCTTAAAAAATTTCATCTTGATTCTAATTAAGCACACACACATACACACACACACACTCTCTTTCTCTCTCTCACAGATGGCTTTGTACAAATACCAAAAGTTCCCAAGAGAGACAAAACAAACAAGACCTTTTGGTTTATAGCAAGATTTATAGCTATATTAGTATATTCCTCTATCTTGTTCCTTTTTCTTATTTACTTTTTTACTATTTGAATACATATTTATCTCAATTCTATTTTCAAATGAATGTTGTAGGTTGAAACTAAAACTACCCTTTTTTGTATATCTATCTTATAGCCACTCACTTTTTCAAGTTCTCTTATTAATTATAATTTTTAAAAAGTTAATACAGTCTTTTGGATTTTCTAGGTACATAATCAAATTATATGCAAAAAAGATAATTTTATTTTTTCTTTTCCAATATTTGTAGCAATGATTTTTTTGTTTTATTTTATTATTAGAACTTTCAAACATTGTTGAATAAGAGTAATAGTAGAGGGAGTATAGAAGATTATCTTAAGCTAAATATTGTAGAAAACCATAAAGTAGAATTATTGGGCTGCATAAATTTTTCAGCCTTTTTAATAAAATAATCAAAAACTAGAAAAATATCTATAACAAGGATTAATATGCTTAATTAATATGTGTTGTACTTCTAAAATTGATAAAAGGACAAAAATGAATTAATGAAAAATGTTAAAAATAGATATATGGATAGGCAATTCTTCCCTCATAGGAGCCTCCCTCTAGGAGCCTAATATAAGCAGAATCATACAAAAAGGAAGTTAATAAATGAAGATTTGTTCAACTTCACTAATAGAGCTATACTAATAAAACAATGAGATACCATTTTGCACCTATCAACTCAGTAAAACTATCATGAATGATAACTTCCTGTATTTGTGAAGATGAAGAGAAACTGACACTAATATAGTATTGGTCACAGTATAAAGTCTTTCAACATTTTTAAGACAGCAATCAGGTAGGTAAACCCTCTGACCAAAATTTATGTATAGTAAATTTTCTCTTATTGTGTGCATTGAAGGAATATTTTTTGTATTGACAAAAAAAAAACTAATAAATCCTGTGGAAACTATCTGAATATCTGCCAGTGGGAAAATAGTCAAACAAATCATGATACAGCAAAATGAAAAAATATTAAGCAGCTATTTTTCAAAGTGCCATATATAATAATCTGGAACAATGGTTATGCTATACTAAGTGAAAAAAAAATCAAAGTACAAAGTAGTATGTAGAGTATGATCCTTTTTTGTGAAAACACATATGTTATATATACACATATACATGTATATATACACACCCTAAGACACTATATATGTACATATAGATGTATAGTAATACAGCCTAAGACAGTATGTATCAATTGAATAAAATGTAAAAGGAAACTAAATAATATCCTGAAAAAAAACTGCACAGCTATTTTTCAAATACTCCTTTCCAACCAGAAATTCTTGTTTAAAAAATTGTGGTAAAATATACATAACATAAAATTTACCATTTTAATAATTTTAAGTGTACAATTTTGTGGCATTAAGCACATTCACATTCTTATGCAACTATCACCACTATCCATATCCAGAAAGTTTTCATCAGCCCAAATAGAAACTCTGTAACCAATAAATAATAACTTCTCATTGCTCCCTTCTCTCTCCTCCTGATAATCACCATTCAACTTTGTCTCTATAAATTCTAGAAGCCTCATATAAGTGGAATCATACAAAATTTGTTCTTTTGTGATCTGGCTTATTTCACTTAATATCTTCAAGTGTTGTTCATATTGTGAAATATGCCAAAATTGCATTTCTTTTTTAAGGGTCAAAAATATATCATTGCATGTATAGGCCAAATTTTGTTTGTCCATTCCTCCATAGATGGACACTTGGGTTGCTTCCAGCTTTTGGCTATTGTGGATAATGATGCTATGAACATAGGTACAGAAATAAAAAATTCTTAACTTTTATTTATTTATTTATTTTTAAATCATGTTTATTCTATTACAGTCTCCCCCTTTGTCCTCCTCCATCCATCCCACCCCAACCCCCTACTCCCACAGTCAATTCCCACTCTGTTGTCCATGTCCATGGGTCATTCATACATGTTCTTTGTTTAGTACCTTCCCCTTCTTTCTACCATTGTCCTCGTTCCCTGTTCCCTCTGGTCACTTTGAGTCTGCTCCATGTTTCCATGCCTGTGGTTTATTTTGTTCATTAGTTTATGTTGTTGAATAGATTCCACTTATAGGTGAGATCATATGGTATATGTCTTTCACCTACTGGCTTATTTCACTTAGCATAATATTCTCCAGTTCCATTCATGTTGTCGCAAAAGGTAGGAGTTCCTTCTTTCTTTCTTTTTAAATGCAGATTTTATTTACTTATTAATTTTAAATGTCAAAATCCATTATAAAGTATTATAAAATTGAAATCCATTATAAAGTCTCAGCAATTAAAACAATGTAACAGCACAGAAATAATCAAGTAGGTCGATGAAATAAAATGAGCATTCTAGAAACAAATGTATATATCTAACAATGTATGATTATTATGATTATATGATTATATGATAATGTAATATATGATTAAATATCATAAATATCATTTAATCATAACTATATGATTAAATTAATATTTCAAATCGATGGGGAAAGTAAGGCATATTCAACAAATAAGGTGCATGGCCCATTATTACTTGAAATAAAACAAACATAGAGCCCTATTTCATACATTTTACAAAAAATATTCAGGTAAGTTAAAAATCAATATGTAAAATCTAAGGAGTTTTAGGAGAAAATACAAAATAATATTTTTCTTACTCTGAAGTCAAATATTCAAACCAAGAAGCTATAAAGTAAAATATTGACAATATGACTATATTAAACATTTAAGACTATACAGTAATATACATATTAAAAAAGTTAAAGGACAAGTAATAGAAAAGGAAAGTATTTGCAATACATCTAAAAAAGGGTTAATAGTTGTTGGGATTTTTTTAGGGGAAAAAAATCTACAAACATTTAATCAAAAAATTGATAAAGAGTACCAAAAAGTCATTTAAAGCTTTTTAAAAATAATAGAAATAGGCAAGAAATATACAAAAACAGGTTTATTTTCAACAAATAATAAAGTAACAACTAAAATAACACATCATTGTCACAATCAGATTAATAAGTGTTAAAAATATTGGTAATATCAAGTATTGGTGACTGTGAAAGGAACTGTGTATTCATTGACTCTTTTTCTTCATCTTATAGCAGTCCCTTTAGCATATCTTGCAATGCTGGTAAGGTGGAGGTGTATTCTTTTAGCCTTCTGTTGTCTGGGAAACTCCTTATTTTGCCTTCTATTTTTATTGAGAGCCTTGCTGGATAGAGCAGTCTTTGTTGCAGGCCTTTGCTTTTCATGACTTGAAATATTTCTTGCCATTCCCTTTTGGTTTGCAGTGTTTCTGTCGAGAGGTCAGCTGCTAGCCGTACAGGGGCTCCCTTATATGTTACCACATCTTTCTCCCCTGCTTTCTTTAGGATTCTCTGTTTGTCTTTGATATTTGCCATTTTAATAATGATGTGTCTTGGAGTGGCCTCATTGGATTCCTCTTGAATGGGACCCTCTGTGCTTCCTGGACTTGTGTGACTTGTTCTCTCCTCAAATTAGAGAAGTTTTCCATCATTACTTTTTCAAACAAGTTCTCTAACCCTTGCTCCTCTTCTTCTCCTTCTGGTATCCCTATTATATGGATATTATTATGTTTCAAATTGTCCTGCACTTCCCTAAACACCTCTT